CGACCATATGCTTCACGTCCATTGCCATGTTAACAATAGGGTACCTAGCTGCTTGCGTGCTGGCCGCTGCATATACAAGTATCCTAGATCATTTGCAGAGGATAATATTGTTACTGGTTCACCTCATCCAATTTATCATAGGCGCGACACTGGTCGCCAAGTCGTGGTTCGAGGCTGCTCTTATAAGAATGGATGGGTTATTATTGCATAATCCCCACCTATTGAAGAAGTTTAATTGTCACGTGAAGGTTCTAATTTGTACACATGTGGCGTTAACTAAATACTTTTACAAGTACATATACAAAGCCATTGATCGAGTCGACTTCTTTACTACTGGGGAAACAACTTCCACAGCTGAAGGAAACCTTGCTGAGGTTTGTTCTGCTGCACAGTCTTCCAAAATTCCTCATGTGCAAGAAGAAGTTCAGCCATCCGATGCCGTTGAACCAGTTCCAGTGACCTTAGAATGTAAAATTCGTAGTTGCCTGATGGAAGAACTTTGTTTACATTGATGCTTCACTTAATAATGAAAGATTGTTGCTGCGACAGTAATGAAATAACTTTGTTTACTGCAACCTTTAACGGTTATAACTTTATTATTAGGTGAAGATGCTGAACGGATCCTTGCCCATTCGACACCAGCACTGATGAAAATGCCCAAGAGGTTTGTATCGGTTTAAAATTCCTCTTCATTAGTTCTATTATTGCAGGTGCATTTACTGCTTGACTTGTCTAAATTGTTGTGGTATTTCTTTTTCAATGTTCAAGTGTGAGGATGTAGCCCTGACGAGTTTCCGCAACATGATATCATCAAAGATGCTTTCCCGTTATGTTAAACCTCCAAAAACAAAGATTGCCACAGCAAGGCCACACTACCTCCTCCAGTGCTTACCTGAAGGAAACTTCATTGAAATTGGTACTGCTGGAAAATCTTCCAGAGTAGCTGATGACCAGGAAGGATTTCACACATGTGATGCCCCTGAACTGCTCCCAGCTACCTCAAAAGGTGACATCAACACTATTGAGTTAATACAGAATTTAATCTGTAGTTTAATCTGCAACCCTTGAAACCCTTAATGGTTAGAACTGTATTACCAGTGTTTCTTCAGACTTTCCTGCTTCTCTTTATTCTTTGTCCATTACTAATGTACATTATGATTAATCTATTGCAGAAGCCAAACCAAAGATATTTATAGATTCGAAGATTGCTGCAGCTGATCCCCTTAAGACCGAGTCTACAAGTGGTGATCGCAAAGCGAAGCAACCAAGGAGAGTCTAAAGTACTTCTTCGTTAATTCAGAATCGTGATGATTTTTGCTCATCTGTGGTATTTTATCTTATTTAATGAATTCTTAGGTCTTGTCTTTAACCTTTAGAAATTATAGTCATGGTTTTTGGCCAATTCTTTTGTTCCTGAATTGTAGCCATACCATGCTTTTGCCGTTTAAAACTTCCTGGTCGTTGAACCTTGTATTTTCAACAGTATTGAACTTGTTTGAAGTTATATTTTCTTTTGGAAATTCAGTTTGGGATTCTGCTGTTATGAGTTGATTTCACTTTAATATGTAGATTCAAGTGACTTCCAAATGTTCATATGAGAAAATACTAATATTTACGCACGGGGCATATAATCCTCCGCGCTTCGCGCGGAGTATTTCACGACTAGTTGTGATAATATGTAACTATACATGCAACCTGGAAGTTATGTATAGACTCAAGTGGGAAATGAGTATTTGTTTTATCCTGCACTTTGTTCAGCCGATTTATAAGTTATAACCAATGATGCCCAAACCGAAGCAAATAGATTCTCACCCATTTTCTTGGCGTTGAACCGTTGACCATTTGCCATTCCTTTTTTTTTATTTTTTTTATTTTTATTTTTTATATCATCTTATCACTTCTTATTCTTCTTCTTCTCTACTTCCAAAATGTGTGCGAAGTTTTGTTCAGATTTTGTTAACGATAGTTTTCAGTAAACATTTTAAGTTGCATTAGCATTTTGATCATGTTATTTTTTCAGATACAATCCATCCTTTAAAACTTCATAACTTGATCCGAACTGCTTTGATTGAAATGCAAAGGGATATTTCCTTAGTTCCAAAATGATCGTTTAGTTCGGATTCTTATTTCATTTTATAATAAAAGTGAATTTTTAAATTGTAAAATTATTTCAAGAATCAAGAAATATATATCACCTTTTATAGCAAATTTGCTACAATATTTCTAGTGTTGTCTACCTAAAAAATACAGTTATTTAAATTTGTAGGCGATTGCTACGTACCAAAGGTACGTATAGTTCTTAGAAAGCAACTGGAAGGAGGCTAGGCTAGAACGGAGAAACAGCATATTAACAGTTAAACAATATAAATAATTACTAAACTTTAAACACGTTTTGATTCGTAATTAAGATATCGCTATACTAATATATTGATAACCTTCCTAGTTACTTCATATTTATCATTTTCTTTCGAACCAGTTGCAGCTAGTGACCAAGAAGAATCAGATCATACTTATAATTTAGAAATAACTAACGCTACTATATATCAATTATACTATTTTAATTGTAGAACGCTAGCTATACCTTAGAAAATTCTCCCTGATCCACAGAAGGGCCTCACCCCGGGAAGGGAACACGATGGATTAAAATTAAAGAAGTTCAAATTATTAACCCTTTTTATTATATATTCCCTCTGTCCCATAATTATTGTCCAGTGTGGGATTTTACTTTTAATATAATTTAAAGTAGAAATGAAAACTCAAACTGGACAATAATTTTAGGACGGAGGAAATTGTAATATAATTCCATTCGATAATTTTATCAATCACCTTCTTATCACTTATTATCTCTGTTCCAAAAATAATACAAATTTAAAAATATAATGTTGATTTTTTTTGGAACAGAGAAAGTATTATTTAACTATCAATATTGGATATTGGAAGATTAGTCGACATGGTGGGGAAGCTAATTTTGGCAAATGAAGATAAATGAAACGTAAGAAATGCGAAATATCGATTGATTATGTCTAAAGACCAACTAAATTTCTGTCGTAGTTTATATTCATACGCATTATATAGTACTAGAAAGTGGTGCACCGCACGATTTGCGGTAGTTCGTAGTAATCCGGTTAGGGATGAATCTAAATAACTATTTTTGTGCAAAACAACGGTGCCTATTGTGATTAAACATTAGTAGCCACCTATTTTTAACTTTACATGCAATTAAATATTAGCAATCACCAGCCGCAGAGACATTAGCAGGTTTTCTACTGTGGTTAATCAAGGAATAAGAATCATCAAATTGAATGCTTAACACCCTTTATGTTGGATTTATCACAGAATCTTGACAAGAGAAGACCAAATTGGACTCAAATTTAATAACTACGAGAAAGAAATTTGGCCTCAAAATAGTTTTTTCACTTGCTTTTACCTGGGGTCTTCACTTTCTTCCTCAATCGACTTGTGCTCCACTAATATGCCCGATGTAAATTAATCAACGCCTCCTACTACAGTGGTGTCCGAACAAACCTTGAATAAAGCAGGGATTAGAATCAGAAAGAAGAAAGAAGCGAGATGGATTGGAAAGGGAAGATAATAGAGCGGAATGATGAAATTGGCAACCGAAAGGAAAGGTGGAAGAAAATAATAGAAGAAAAGGACAAATATTTATGAGAGTCAATCGCGTGACGACACGTGCACAGTGGAGAAGGGCAACAGCCATTCCCCATTTAAATAATCTAGATTATTCTGGGAAACCTCCGGTAACTATGACATAAACCTCTCCTTTCTCTAGCTCTATTTCACTTTTTACTTTTATAATTAATTATCCACCGCTGGGAACCTTATTTACTTACCTTCTTCATGGTGAGAATCTAATCGTGGCTTCATAAGTTAGTTTTTCAAAATACTCGCCACTAAGACAGTCACAGTTCTCTTCTTCTCTAGTTCACTTTCTTAATATTGATAACTAAATGATAGAAGTCTGATATAAAATCTGTGAACTAAAGGAAACATCCTATGTTACTTCATGTGGACAAAAAAAACCACGTTTCATTATTTGTGTTCATAGTTAGAAGAAGTTAGTAATTTACAAATATATAATATGTAAAAAAAAAAAAAATTGCAAAACAAAGGAAAATGAGGAACACACTGCTCTCTCTCTCACTCTCTCTCTTTAGACCAGAAACAGTATTAGAAACAAGAGAAATTAATGTAAAGGAATATATCATCATCACAATAATAAAAATATTCTTTCAGTGGTTAAGACTTTAAGTATGATTAACTGTACACACACACACACACACACACACATGTATGTATATCTCTTCTCTCTTTGTTTAGATAGAGAGGAACACTTACACAAGGCTGTGACCTTCACATATCAATACAACTTGGTTTTGAAAGGTAATCAGCAAAAAACGAAAAAAAAACTAAAATGGTGAGAGCTCCATACATTGACAAAGATGGAGTGAAGAAAGGTGCTTGGAGTGAAGAAGAAGACAACAAGCTCAGAGCCTATGTCCAAAAATATGGCCATTGGAACTGGCGACAACTTCCTCAATTCGCCGGTATATTATCTAAGAAAGCTTTGATTAACTTTGAAGAGTTGTTGATTCAGAAAGTTGAAGTGTTGTTTTTTTTTTCCCACCATTGATTTTCAGGTCTGAATAGATGTGGGAAAAGTTGCAGGTTGAGATGGAAAAATTACTTAAAGCCAGGAGTAAAAAAGGGAGGTTATAGTCCTGAAGAAGAAGAGCTCATTCTGAAACTGCATCAGCAATTTGGCAGCAAGTAAGTCTACATTATTTGTACTCACTCCGTCCCAGAAAAATATCCCACATTGTAACTTGTCAATTGTATGGTTTTATAATGACTATTTTTCTGGAACGTAGGAAGTATAAAAATTTGTGTATCTCTGATCAGTTTTATGCAAGTAAATGGCACAATAAGTACTAATATTGATGATTTTTGTGTTATATTTTGGCGGCCAGATGGTCAGTGATTGCGGAAAAATTACCAGGAAGAACCGACAATGACATAAAGAATCACTGGCACAGTCATCTGATGAGAAGGAAAATGACTATGATGATGAGGAAGAAGGAAGATGACGATGACGATGATATTCATGAAGAAAAACCAACAATTTTCCAGAAGAATATGGACCCTGAATATACTTCCTCAAATCAAGATCACTGCTATGACGACAAGAATAATGAAGAAACTTTTCCAATTTCGGCTACAATGTTATTTGATTCTAAGCCCCAAAAGATGGAGCTTATGGAGAGTAATCAGGACATTAAAATTCCTTCTTATGCTATTGCTGCTGGTGATGATGTCACTGAGATAAATTACAGTACTAAATCATCATCATCATCATTAAGCAATCTTATGGATGGGGCTAATGCATCTGCAGATAATCAAAAAACTACCACCCTGAGTGATGATTCTTCAGTAGAAGAACACTTTTACTGGTTTGATGATTATAATGAAAATTCCAGTTTCTGGGCTCAACTTTCTGCCCTTGAACAAATCATACAACCACATTGATTATCAATGATTCCCTGTTGGCCTATCTAAGATAGTGTTGTATGGACCTCCCCAATGTGTTATACACTCTGCGTCCAAAAATAATTATCATGTTTGGATTTTGTTAGATAGTTTTAAGCTATTTTCTTTTCAATTCATTAAGAGTTTGAACAATAAAATCATCCATCTTGCCCACAAGATATTGAAGTTTATCCCAGTTTTCAATTTATCTCCCGCGCAAGTACAGATCCAACTCTGATAAAATTAAGAAAATACGACAAATATGACAACCTTGTACGGTGACTTTAAGCCTTTTAACTTGTTGTACCATATACTAATTTCACGTTCGTTTGAAAAAAAGAAAAAGAAAAAGAAAAACATGTACTGTTCAAATCGAAGTTTTCCGTTCAATAACGGTCTTCGTAAATCGTAATTACTTCTCAAGTAAGTTAAGAGTTACTTGAACCGGTCTATTTTCAGAAAAATTGTGAAACATGCATGAATGTTAGTGGTAGCTAATGTTATTTTTAGTTGAAATGACTATAAAAATTACGGTTCATGTTTACAAAAGAATTGTATTTACATCAACGGACTACATGAAGATTACTCTTAGATCATATATCCTCCATGGTGATGAGATTCTCGTCCAGCTTACGTGATTCCCTATTGCGAAATTAATATTATGTGTCTGAAGTCCTTTTATTATTTACTATTCTTTTCGAATTACTTGGCGGCTTTCTAGCTAATAGGATTCAAATTTTGGGAAATTTAAGGTTATGTAATCTACCTTTCACTGTTATGTTGCTTCCAACCTCTGTCTTCAGAGGACAAGGTCAACAGTTGTTGTTAGAACTAATTCTTTACTTATTTTACCCTTTTTTCATTTTGTTGTTGTTAGGCACCTCTCTATTTAGTCTTAATTATTGACCAACGACATTTCATATTGATTAAAAAAAAAAAACGAAGCAATGAAAACAAATCATATATTGTATCTACAATTAAAATTTTAAAAAATTTTAGTTGTAGGATCTTCCCCGAATTAATTTGTTTAGACAATCGACATTGACATCTCCAGTAGCATTTATCAGTGCATGTGATAGCTGACAGGTCTACACAGAATCTAATAATCTATAGAGACCTAAGAAATCGAGTGTTGTTAATTTTACATTTTGGATTTTGGGTTTAATGGAGTGTTAAATTTGATACAAAGGTCAAATTACCATCAGTCGACACTGAAGAGGCTTTAGTACGTATTATCCTAATGATAAGATACAAATCTAAATTAGCTTTAGTCTCCTATTGATCTGATTGCGGTATTCGTGTGCTTTGTTACGTTACCTTATACACACAGTGTTAAGATGACTGTTTGTTTGAGTTTTTAATTTTAGTATAATTTGAATTAAAAGTTAAAAATGAAATGGAATAATTATTTCATGACAGATGAAATAATTACTTACCCGAAAAACAGATGCATAAATTATGACAAACTTACACAATGAACATAAAAAAACACGGGTACTCTTAAATTTCATCCTGCTGCTCTCAGATCTCCTTGTCTTTCGAACCCCATTCTTAATATCTGTTCCTGAAGCAAAAAAAATACAAAAAAATTTGTTGGATTCATGCATGCATCGAGACGAACTTTCATTAATCCCGTTTATAGAAAATCATTTTCCGCACAGCATTGGAGAAAACTCCCGTAAATCAGACAAAAGCCTTCAGCTCGACCACACAAATGGAATCAACACCTCTTTTCCATTTCTTTTACTTATTTATTTATTTGTCTTGTCAGTCGCAAAAGTGACTCCCCAACCTTCTCAAACCCAAACAGTGGAACAACTTCACAAATTCAATAAACAGAATTGGTTTTCCTTATGCTGACGTTACAATGAATACGTCACAACATTTCTTTTAGTTTTTTTTCAGCTTAAGTTTTTATTTTATTTTGAAAAATGGCGGCTTATGGTTTTAGGGATAAGATCATCTACAAGAAATGAAACTTTCAATGCTCTTTTATTTTATTTTATTTTATTTTGTTGGAGTAGGTCTTTCTTTGGTATTTTAAAAGGGTGTCACTTATCTTGTAGCTAGGATGTTAATGTAAGAGTAAGATTAGTTTAAGATTAACAAGAAGTCATTATTAACACAAGTGCCGCCGGCCAATTATTGTTCCTTGGTCAATCAAAAGTGCATAAACAAATGATTTGACATTATATGTGGCCCTTGATTACATGAATCCCTCTTAAGTCTCAACTAGTAGATAGACATATATTCCATCAGGTCTGTATTATGATGTACAACTTTTAAGGTTTCTCTTAGTCCTATTTGTAAGACATTTGATGTCCTTAAAGCTTTATTTATAGTGTACTTCCCACTTAACCCCAATTTGAATTGAGTAAATTTTAATTTAGTTGGTTCCTAAAGAATGTGCACATTTTTAATGTTGGTAATACAGGTAGTTCCCCCTAAAATAACTAACTTAAATACTTTTCTTAATTATCTAAAGTAGTTATTTATGCCTTATATTAATGAGGAGGGAGCATTTTTCCTTTTTGTGTAACAGATGGTCAGTGGAGTCCAAAATGAAAAGCCAAGTAAAAAATCATAGGTACATTACTATTTTGAAGACCAACACAATAGAATTCTACATGCAGGAGTCAAAAAAAAATTTAAAAAAATTTATATCGAAATGTAAAATTCATTGAGTTTTTTTCTTTTTTCTTTTTATTTTTTTAAAATGTTAGATGAACCACGTATTTGAACATTAAGGACTAAAGTGACAAACATCCAAACACTCATGACAAAACCACTGTGAAAGAAAAATTCTGGGACCAAATGCCAATTAATTTATGAGATTTTTGTCCGAGTATTAAAATTGCACTCCCTTCATCATATATAAATGTTCCATTTTGTAAATCCAAAACAGTACAACAAAGTAAATTATTTTCTTAAAATATATGGAGTATATTTTTTTAACTAGATTGAGAGTAGAGATAACATCATTGTATAACAACTAGTCGAACCCCTCAAGACTGACACTTTGGGCTTGGTATGAGGTCCGCCAAAATGGTAATGTTCTTCAGAAAGCAAATATACTACTTATACAAAAGTAGTGAAAATAAAATTGTTCTCAAACAATCAATTATCGGGAAGTGGTATATATATTCTACTGCCTAGCACACAAATGGCTTTTGAAAACAAGATAGGGAAACTTAGACCTTATGCAAATGAATATGCTATATATATATATCATATTGTAAGGCTCTTCTAATACAAATACAAAACAAACTAGCGAAAAAGTATCATATGGTGAACCCACGTTTTATAGATCCGGCAAGACTACATCAAGAGGATAAGCTTCATTGGACACTTACTGATCATGGGAATTACACAGTCAAATCCGAGTATCAATTGGCCATCAACGCCCTCCTGCCACAACCCGTACCAAGACCAGCAACTCAGAATGCAGAGAAATTAGCTTGGAAACGACTATGGAATTCTAGAGGTCAATCTAAGCACAAGTTTCTCTTCTGGAGAGCAATACTCAATGCTCTTTCTACTCGATCAGAACTATGCAAAAGGGGAGTTCAAGTGGACTCATTATACCCCAGATGTGGTAGGCAGGAGGAGGATAGCTTACACTTATTCTTTAAGTGTGAAGCCTCTCGGGTCATCTGGGCCTTGGCTTTTCCTCAGTTTGTCTCGATATTCAATTCTACATATGACACCTTGCATCAATGGTTCATTCAGTGAACTCAGTCTCATCCAGCTAAAGAGGAGGTTGATTTGTTTCTGATCATCAGCTGGAGGATCTGGCTGGAAAGGAATGATAAAATTTGGAGAAACCAATCTAATGATCCGGCGGTATTTTGGAGACTTATCGAAAATGAAGTCACTGTCCACAAGCAAAGCCTTGGCAGACTGATAGTTGGAAAACCTTCTTCCAACATACAATCATCACTACCAAAGAGAGGTCTGACTGATTCCTTAGTCATTTTTGATGGATCGTTTAGCCATCAAACACGCAAAGCGGCTGGTGCTGAAAAATACTATCACATCATGGTATGGTCATGCAAATCAAAGCGGTGGACCTAAGTGTGCTTTCTCCTTTTCAAGCCGAGGCAATGACTTGTCTCTTGGCATTGAAAAAGGCATTACATTTAGGAATCACTCGACTTCAAGTTTATACGGACTGTGAAGCTCTGACTGGAGATTTACGGTCTACTTTAATACCTTCTGAGGACACGGTCTACTTTAATACCTTCTGAGGACCAGGAGGTAGTTTTTTTGTTAGTAACTAGTAGTTCCTTATTTCAGTCTTGCTCACTGATTAAAGTGAGTAGACAAGATGTTTTAGAAGTTCATAATTTAGCATTACATAGAATGCGATGTAATAAGTCAGGTATTTCTTAATTAATATACAAGTACATTTTATTTTAGTCCTAACATTAGAGAAATATGATAGATTAGTTCCAAATTGTGCTACTGAGATTTAGTCCCAACTCTTGAACATTTGTCTCGTTTTTATTTTCAAATTAGTTCTAAAACGGAAAATTTTCACTACAAATGTTACTATAAAAGAATATTTTGAGACACACTATGGATGGGACAGAAAACCGAGGTCCAAATGTTGAGAATTAATTTCAGTTGTCCAAAAATGATTAAATTATTATATTTTGTCAAACATTTGACTAAAAGTCATGGGTTTTGAAAGACAGGATTTGATGACAAACATTTTACATTAAAAAAAAAAAGGAAATGATCAAAAACCATTTCCCTTACTTGCTTTTCTCCTAGGAGACATCTCCTTCTTTATTTTGTCCCCTTTTCGTTAATTAGCATGTTTTAGCGTTCTGTTTTCCCGGGTGCTCCTAGGGCTTTGTCGGGCTCCATTCGCTAATCTGCGTCTCCAAAATTTTAATAGTGAGTTAGCAAACACTTAAAGAAGTCATTAATTCCGCGGATGGTTTATTAATGCAACTATTAATGGGGTTCATTGTTTCCATTTTCCATACTTCCAGGGAAGAAGTGCTAAAATTGAATGTACTAAAAGTTTAGTGTGCGAATAAGAAACTACTGTCACGTTTCTATTATTGCTGAGAGATAAACTCTTCTAATGGGTAGATAAATTCTTACTGCATGCTCGTATTACGGCTCAAATTCTAATCACAATTTAAACTGTTCAACATTTTTATCATTTGCACCGAGTATTTTATTGTTGAACTAAAAAATACGACCAAGAAAAAGTATATTAAATGAAGTGTGAACTTTTAGTGAAGCTACGGAGAAGCTGCCTCCCAATTTGTTCATACATAGGGGTTTTTTTCGAATGTAAAGTGTAAATAATCAGGGCTTAGAACCTTCCCTGTGTACACACTGAGGATACGAAAGTAAACATCATAAAATAAGTGGAGGAGACAGTAGCAGTCCTCAACCGGAAGCGAAATGGTCTAACAACTAGTAGTACCAATAATGTAGACTTGTGAAACTACTAAGAAGTTGCCAGGAAATAAGTTCATATTACCTTGTTTGGAATGGAAAGCTGACGTTTTCGTCTCAACAATTGAAAAAATTTAAGCAATAAGTCCCAAACTATGAAGTTATCATATTTTAATCGGAATGTTTGATTTGATGAAAATCATTCCTGTTTCTTGATCTTTTGAGCGTAGCTTTAAAGCAGAAAAAAAAGGGAAAAAAGAAAAATGACAAGTCGTATTTCGGCATGAAAGTCACCATCTCTTTGGAGAAGGAAAATAAGAAATTACAATTGAAAAAAATAATGGATTGTTTTAGTGCAAAAAGGCAATGGTTTCCTATGTTAAACCGTTTGAAAAAAGAAACGAGCAGCAATAATTTTAACCATTGCAAAACCAACTATAAAAACTCTATTAATCAATTAGCTTTAGAGCCACAAACTACCATTTCTTTTCTGTTCTCTTTCTTCCTTCAAGATTAAAGAGAGAGAGATGGATTCAAAGACAAAGAGGGAAAAATCAACCGGTACTGATCATCATTATAAACATAAACATATTGCTGCGAAAGATTCATCCAAAACAGGCGATAAACACAAGCAAGTTGTTCTAAGAGATGCCTCCAAATCGGGCGATAAACATAAACAACAGGTGATCAAATCGTCATCTTCCAAGACGAGCAGCTCCGCAAGCGCAATCCAAGTCATGAAATCTTCCTCCAGCACCGTCTATACTACTACTACCAAAACCGAGACATTCATCAAAGAGTCTTCTTCTTCTAAAGGCCATGTCAAAACTTCGACGTCGTACACCACCGCCACGAAAACTAAGACGGAGACAGCGGTACTGCTCGCTAAAAAGTCAACGTCGACATCTTCTTCGATGAGAAGCCATCACGGCCACCGAATCGCTTCTTCAGCTCGCCACCACCACTAGATGGAAGACGCGCTGATCGATCTCACAGAAGTCGTAAAAGTCGCCATTTTCAGGTGCTAGATTGAGATATCTTCCTACTTTATAGAGATAGGGATAGAGTTTACTCTTTTCCATATTAATCACATTGTTATATCGGTCTATATATGAGTCTATATATGACCATCTCTTGTATCAATTTTCCAATAATGAAAACATCTTTTACCATACTGTTTTACATGGTACAGAGCAAACCCTAAAAAATTTTTTTTGAGCCGTCAACCACCATTTTTTTTCTCTTCCTTCTCCGGCTCCATTTTCTTCTCCGCCGACATGGTCGAAACCTCCTCTACTTCCGGTGATCTTCCTCCTCCACCATCATCTGTCATCACTCAACCCCTCGTTGATATGAAATCCCCATATTACATCCATCCCTCTGATCATCCCGGCTTGTTATTTGTCACCGATCCGTTAGTCAAAACCGGCGACAATTACTTTACTTGGCGGAATAGCCTTTTAACTGCCTTTGAATCCAAAAATAAAGCTGGATTTCTGGATGGTACGATCTCCAAACCCGCTGTTAACAGCGATGATTTCCAAAGTTGGATTCAATGCAATGCTTTGCTCAAAGCCTGGATCACCAACGCGGTCTGCAAGGAACTCAAACCCGGCGCTGCAAACACACACTCTGCCTTGGAGATTTGGAAGGATTTTCAAGAACGCTTCACGCAAGGAATCGCCCCTCGCGTCTATGATCTGAAGCGTACCATCGCTTTGCTGCAGCAGGAGAAGGCTTCCACAGCAACCTACTATGGCAAACTGAAGTCTGTTTGGAACGAATTACAGAACCTTCGTCCATTGCCGGTTTGTTCCTGCTGCGTTTGTTCTTGTGGCGCGAAGAAGCAGCTGGAAAATATCCGTGAAGAAGAAAAGGTTTATGACTTCCTCATGGGGCTTGATGAAACCTACAAAACGGTGCGATCCCAAATCCTTAGTCTCGAACCGTTACTGACCTTGGGTAGAGCTTATTCTATTGTTGTCGGTGATGAAAAACAATGCAGCATCTCTGATCAACGTCTTCCCGTCGTCGAAGCCACCACCCTGCTTGTCAAATCTCCGGCTGATTCTCGCCGTGATAACCGCCGCCAAGACGTTCGGGATAGGACTGATCAACGCAGCGGCATTGGACCAAACAAACTTCTCTGCTCGCATTGTCAGCGTACCAATCACACGGTCGATCATTGCTTTGAATTGATCGGCTATCCATCCGGTTGGCGACAGCCTCAACGCCAGCAACGATCTCGCCCTGTTCCTGCTGCTTTCTCTTCTGTCACGGAGACCATGTCACCTTCCTCAGCAGCAGCCGCCACTCTCACTCCATCGCGGGTTCAGCAGCTTCTTGCCATGTTGGGTAATCAGCCGCCCACGGTTGCTGCTCCTCCTTCCTCCACTCCTCTTCCGGTAAGACAGATTGGGCAGCCGATTCCGGCGCCACTGATCATACTACTCATTTGATTCATTCCTTGACAGATGTTTCTCGACCATCTCATCCTATTTTTGTCCAAATACCTAATGGTGCTAGGGTTCCGGTTTCCACAATTGGTCATTTTCATTTTGACAAAAATTTAGTCTTAAAAGATGTTTTGGGGGTTCCTCAATTTCGATTTAATCTCGTTTCTGTTAGCAAACTCACTCGAGATTTAAATTGCTTCTTCACTTTTGGTCCTAATTTTTGTTTTATTCAGGACTTACGCTCGAGGAGGCTGATTGGAGTGGGTAGAGAACGTGATGGATTGTACTACTTGGAGCATTTGGATACTGGTGGCGGGCGGAACATTTTGTTGACACAAAAGGATAGTTCATCTACCTTATGGCATCATCGTTTGGGCCACATGCCAATAAGTCGCCTTTCTATCATTCCAAGTATTTCATTTTCTAGTCCACAGTCAATTTCAATTTGTGATGCTTGTTGTCGAGCTAAACAGACACGTTTGCCATTTCCTTTGCATAACAATAATTCCCTACATACATTTGATTTGGTTCATTGTGACATTTGGGGTCCTTATCATACCCCCTCTCATTCTGGAGCACGTTTCTTCCTTACTATTGTTGATGACTATAGTCGTGCTACTTGGGTTTTTTTAATGAAGCATAAATCTGAGGTTAAACGGTATTTATTGATGTTTTTCAATTGGGTTTCCACACAATTTCACACTTCCATAAAGGTGTCTCGTACTGATAATGGTTTCGAATTTACCCATGTTGATTTGCAAAATCATTTTTTTGATTATGGTATGGAACGACAAACTAGTCGTGTTCACACGCCTCAGCAAAACGGGGTTGTAGAACGCAAACACCGTCATCTTTTGGAAGTGGCTCGAGCCCTTCGTTTTCAAGCTCACCTCCTGATTGTTTTTGGGTGAGTGCATCCTCACTGCTGCATATTTGATTAACCGTATGCCCCTATCTGTGATTAATAACAAGACCCCCTATGAGCTTTTATTTGGTATATCCCCTGAGTATACACATTTACGCACTTTTGGTTGCCTTTGTTATGCCCACGTTCCGGGTAAACCCCGAGATAAGTTTGATTCTCGTGGTAAACCTGGAAGTTTTGTTGGCTATCCTCATGGTCAAAAGGGATATAGGATCTATGATTTGGACCGCAGGGTGATTTATTCTTCCCGTGATGTCAAATTCCTTGAAAACATCTTTCCTTATTCTCGAGGCCTCGATACTTCTAATCCTTCCACTGCTCAAGACAATGATCTTCTTGCCCACCAAGCAGCTTCCGATCCTATTCTACCTACTCAACCTTTGAATGCTCCGCCGTCATCTATAGCTGTTGACCTTCCTACCTCAGTTTCTCCGGCTTCGTCCTCGCCCGCTGCTACTTCTGCATCTTCTCCACCAGTACGGCGCACTCGTCAACTCTCTCGTCGCGTCACTGATTTTGACATCAATCTTCCGCCCTCATTGCTCCCTAACAATCCATCATCGTCCTCAACTCGTCCTTCACATTCCTCGACGGTACATCCCATCTCTCATACTTTATCTTATTCCCGCTTTAGTGCTAATCATACAGCTCTCCTTGCGGCCATCTCTTCTGTTGATGAGCCCACTTCATTTTCTCAGGCCATTAAACACCCTCATTGGTGTGCCGCTATGGCCCAGGAGATCTCTGCTTTAGAGGCAAATCATACTTGGACTCTTGTTTCTCTACCCCCTGGGAAGCGCACCATCGATTCTAAATGGGTATACAAGACCAAGTTCAAACCGGATGGTAGTATTGAACGTTACAAAGCCCGCCTTGTCGCTAAAGGTTATACTCAAGTTGAAGGAATCGACTTTCATGATACCTTTGCTCCTGTTGCTAAATTAGTCACTGTTTGCTGTCTTCTTGCTGTTGCCTCTGTTCATCGTTGGGCCCTCCACCAGTTGGATGTTACCAATGCCTTTCTTCACGGCGATCTTCATGAGGAAGTCTACATGAAAATACCTCAAGGCTTTGCTAAAAAGGGGGAGACTCGGGTTTGTCGTCTCCAAAAATCTCTTTATGGTTTAAAACAAGCTTCGCGGAACTGGTACCAAAAGTTCACTCATTCTCTGCTTGAAGTGGGTTTTCGGGAGTCTGCTTCTGACCCCTCGTTATTTCTCTCTTCCAATGCGACCTCCTTTGTGGCCGTTCTCATATATGTTGATGACATTATTGTGACTGGAAATGATTCTCAGAAGATTCTGCACCTTAAACAGCATCTTCATCGTCAATTTCATATCAAGGATCTTGGTCCTCTCAAATATTTTCTTGGTATTGAAGTTGCTCGATCTTCCTCTGGCATCTTCCTAAGTCAGCGCAAATACACTTTGGATATTCTTGATGAAAGTGGTCTTCTTGGTTGTCGGCCTTGTTCTACTCCAATAGAACATCAGCACCACCTTAATCTTGACTCGGGCGATCTCTTTTCTGATCCTGGCCGTTATCGTCGTCTCATGGGTCGTTTACTCTATCTTACCATTACTCGTCCGGACATCAGTTATGCTGTGCATCTTCTCACTCAGTTCATGCATCAACCACGGGTTCCGCATTATGATGCTGCTCTTCGTATTCTCCATTACTTAAAGAATGCACCCGGACAAGGCATTTTACTCCCATCTGCCAACTCTCTTCAGTTGCGTGCCTATTGTGATGCTGATTGGGCTGGTTGTTCAACCACTCGACGGTCCACTACTGGTTATATCGTATTTTTAGGTTCCTCACCTATCTCCTGGCGATCCAAGAAACAATCTGTGGTCTCCCGTTCTTCCGCTGAAGCCGAATATCGGGCAATGGCTACCACTGCTAGTGAGATTGTCTGGCTCAACCGTCTCCTTCAGGAACTTTGTGTCCGTCAGACGCATCCTATTCCCCTCTTTTGTGATAATCGTGCTGCCATTCACATTGCCTCTAATCCAGTTTTTCATGAACGCACGAAACACATTGAGATCGACTGTCATTTCATCCGTCAGCACATCCAGTCAAAACTCCTACTTCCCCATTCTGTTTCTTCTACTTCTCAGTTGGCTGATTTTCTCACCAAGGCACTGGGACGTGATCAATTTCATTCGATTCTTTCCAAGTTGGGCATTCTGGATCTTCATGCTCCAACTTGAGGGGGAGTATTGAGATATCTTCCTACTTTATAGAGATAGGGATAGAGTTTACTCTTTTCCATATTAATCACGTTGTTATATCGGTCTATATATGAGTCTATATATGACCATCTCTTGTATCAATTTTCCAATAATGAAAACATCTTTTACCATACTGTTTTACATTTTCTGTTTCCTTTCATGAGGAAAATCTATTGTGCCATGTACATAACTTTTATAGATTTTGGTATTGTATTTGTTTTTGGTTTTCTTTTTGTTTTTTATTGTTTTTTTTTCCTTCTTGCTGTTGCGGAAATGATAACGATTTACTTATGACGCTTGAAATTTGAAAATAGAATTTATTATCCGCAGACTGAAGTAATGGTAATGTTTGTTAAAAATTGTACGGTGAATAAAATGATTATTTTGGGATGAATGGGTAAATTAATTAAGCACCGAATTTTGACTAATGAAGCAACGAGATGATACAGATGAGTAGTGTTCATGATGAATATAATACCTTCAAACGCTTTCCTGGATAAAAACTGCAACGATTCAAGTTTTCTTTGAAGGAAAACTGTATCATTATTTGAGAACAAAAAGTGATCGATCAAGAAGGAAAATAAAAGACATTGATAATTGTTTATAATTTTGCTCAATTATTGATTGGAGAGTAGTCATACGGAATTGATATTTTATTCATTTGGACTAACCAGGAGATTGGATTTGGATACACTATATCACTATCCAAAGCGATCTATTCATTGATTGCATCTTTCATTTCGTGGTAGCCCCATAATTTCAACTATTCTAAAGGCTATTGTTGACAAGAGTCCTAAAACAAATTTTGCACATCAATTTTAAATATTCACAGCTTTAAGAATAATAATATGTTCGAGCCGTTACAAGTCTTGCCAACCCAATTTGGTACGATTGGTTCTTGTTACCAACATACGGAAAGATTTTTCTTTTCGGGTCTATATATATGATGTTCGGTGACGTGGTAGAATGGAAGTATATGTATATGGACGAATTATTTGTATGTGAGTTAATAAAAAATCGTATTCTTATATTAGATGGAGAATATGACATAAATTTCATCATCATCACGTAAATAAACATTATTAAAACGCAAATTGTCGTTGGAAAATAGACTGAATAATTATCTTAGTCTAGGACAGTCCCTGGAGCATATGTTTACGCAAAGTTACCAAATGAATTCACGTGTTTTTCAAAGTTTGATGACGAAATGTTATTACTTCAGGTTTACAACGGACATAAAATTGTAAAAATTCTATTAAGAGTTTTTAAATATTCAGTTATATATTCTCTGTCTTAAAATAATATTTTTATGAATTATATTATTTAAACAATCATTAATTAGAGACAAAAGTAGTGAGTGAAGTATTTTCTCAAACCTAGGAAATTGGCGGTCAAAGTAATTATCGTTATTCGTTAGAATAGTGATGTTTTCAATTTGACTATCACAAAATAAACACAGATCGCGTCATGGTGACAAAAAATGTAAAGAGACCTTTTCTTGATTCATTTTCTGTTCAAGAGTGATTCAATTTCGAGGTAGTGCGAGTTCCACTTAATTTGCAGTTTTCTAGTGAATTCAGACAAAACATATGATCCCATGCATGCATATACTGACATGAGAGACATCCGAATCAGGAAGATTGTACACGCAAAAGTTTGGATTCATCTTATTTTATCAAATTTTCAAAAGAATATTTTGTGATAAATATGAGAAGATTAAGTAACGCATTTCTAAGTCTAAATTAAACAATATACACGTTGGACCACAGGGTGTTTTCTTTTTGAAAAATGAAAACATGGATATTTATGTTCAATACGTTAGGCGTCGTGTTAGTGTCCCTGATAAATATGCAACTTATTGAAGGTATCTCCTCAAGTGAAGGCACATGTTTTTCTTCTTTTAATTTTGTATTATGCATCTCAGTGGTCCTATTTTTTTGGAATTTTCTTTGAGTTTAAGTTTTAAATTATTTATATCCGTCTAGATGAGTTGGTTTAAATTTTTATTTTTAAAACAAACTATATTACACGTAAAAATTTAAACATGACAATAATTTACTATTAAAAAAAGATTAAAATCGGGACTGTATAAATATCTATACTATACTACGTATCAAATAGTTTGAACAGGAAAAATTATATCAAAAAATAAAAATTGTCATTTTTCATGACTACTCAGGGTAATAAATAAAACAATAAATAGATGCAATATGATAAATTATCCTCTGAGTGCAAGTTTGGGACAAAGGACATATTTTTGGAAGGAAAGGACCTTGAAAAAAGTCAAACTACGAAACCAATTCAAAAAATTTTGCAATCCTACTTACCAATTTAAAATAAAATTTAATTGAAATTTTATTTGTGTAAGTGGATTGAGACAAGTAAGTAACAAACCGATTAATGCAAGACCGAATATCTAGGTTAACAAAATAAGGAAATAAAAGACAGGATCACCTATTAAAATAAACATTCGTAAAACACAAACAACTAATTCAAAATTCCAATTTGGATTTCAGTCAGCTAAGAAACGTAAACACAGGAGTTAGATTATATATATACGATCTACTAAAAGAGTGTAAAGAAAATATACATGCAGGAGTTAGGTTAGAAAAGAGAAAGAAAGCTTTCTTTGTGATATTTTGTTGGGTTGCGAATTCTGATTTCTGAACGAGTAGAAATGGAGCCATGGTGTCTTGAAGTAGGTTTCATCTCCTCCTTTCATCCGTTCCCAGAGGTTGGAATCCGATTGATTCCAAGTTGTTGTGTGTATTACAGTGGAACAAAAGTTAGCCCGCCGAATTGCAGAATTATTTTTATGTGGTCAAAAGAAAATAAAAACTTCGTTGGAACTGCTTTTCCGGTAACACAAGTTCAGCAGCAGCAACCAAGGATTTGGATAGTGTTGGGATCTTCACCGAGTTATGTTCCCACAAAGGACGACGTCGGTTGTTGTCTGAGGTTACTTTGTTATGCCGTTAATTCCCACGGTGTCCAAATGTCTTTGACGTTTACTTTTGACACTAGTCCGGTTAGGCCGTCAACTATAAACCCTTGTTCTCCTCGTAGCCTCATCCTGACCATCTCCGGCCTGAAAAGATTAGCGAAACCACATCTAGCCCTAGGTTATAGGTTCTGTCCTATAATATATTGGCCGATAAATATGTTAACACTGGTCGAGGAAGTTATAATCACTGCCCTCATGAGAAACTTACGCGGGGATACCGAAGCAAGAATCTGTTCAATGAGATAATTTCTTATCAAGCAGATATCATGTGTCTACAAGAAGTGCAAAGTGACCATTACGAGGATTTCTTTGAACCTAAACTTGCTCGGTTTGGATACTGTTCAATTTACAAGGCAAAAGCGAAAGACTTACGTGACGTTAAAGGAGGATATGTAACAGATGGATGTGCCATATTTTATCGCATGGACAAGTTCAAGTTGGTTAAAACTACGAAGTTGAATATGATGAAATTGCAGACCTTTTGATCAATCGGTTAAATAATGGAAAAAGGGACCTAGCGAAGAGTCGTCTTGTGAAAAACAACATTGCAGTTGTGGCGATATTTGAAGAAATCAGCAATTGCCATTTGAGAATTTGTGTCGCAAATACGCATCTGACCAGTGGAATGGGAGTGTCGGACGTCAGATTGTTTCAAGTGATTAGTCTCATCGGTGGACTCGAAAAAATCGATTCTTTGGGGATCCCAGTTTTAGTTTGCGGCGACATGAATTCGCCTCCGGGAAGCGACACTCACACCTTCCTTGTAAATGGAAAGGTTGGGTATTTTAGGCAAGAGAAAAAAGACGTATTAGGGATATCCAAATATCTGAAATTGGATCATTCCATGAATCTGGCCAGTGCTTATTCAGGAGTATCAGGTGGACATGAACATGAGACATTTGGACTACATTTTATATCCACAAGATAAGTTGAAGTTAGATGGAGTGTTTAAAATCCCTTTCTATGAAAGCATAGGAAAGAAAAGGTTACTTCCTATACCTCAATGGTCATCGGACCATATGGCACTGGTAGCAAATTTGAGGATTAAGAAAGCTTACAGGGGGGAGAACTTCTCCGAACTTCCGGTTGATCCATGGGAAGAATTGAAAATGATGAAGAATATCGAGGTTCCACGCAGATGAGGTTCCACGCAAATGGTGAACAAAACCATTGGACTGATGAGTACAATAATGGAAGCGGAGAAAACAGATTAATGTTTGAAACCCAAATCCCGAAGTGTGTAATGACTTTCCCACATCAATGGACCGGAATCGGTATGAATCAACAGCTCATAGGTTGTCTGTAATCTATAGACATTCTTGAGAAGTCATCAGGAGTTTTGGCAAGGTTTTCAGGATTGGAAACTTGGTTTCCTTTTTATAGGATCTAAACTAAGCACAAGTACTTGGAGTATATGGAAGAAGCTAGCATGGAGCGTACAATTAGTTACAAGAACCATTTTTTGAGCAAAAGAGAAATAGTGCGATTTAGCTGGAGGACAAGGATGGAAAGCGGAGGATCCACCGAGGCAAAATGGGCAGAAGAAACAAAGGAATGTAGACGGAGAGTGGTTCAAAGTGTTTTATGTATACTTCAGTAAAATATGTCTTTGTTCTTATAGCTTGTTTCCAATATTCATGAGTAAAAAGTTTGAAGAATTCAGTTTTCTGTGCGTCTGTAATCATGCTTTGCTGAAAATATATTAAACCAAGAAGGCCTCCGGGTTTTCAGTTCATGAACAATTAATACTCAGTACGACAAAAGATGTCGGTCTCCATATTGTCTTTGAGACGTTTTGGTGAAACCTTGAGCAATCCAAATGTAATGAGGCACTTGGGCTTGTGTGTAAATTGTACTCCCTCCGTCCAATAATTATTATCCAGTTTGAATTTTCATTTTTAGTTCAAATTGTATTAAAAATGAAATATCAAACTGGACAATAATTTTGGGACAGAGGGAGTAATGCTCTTCAATCTCTTTTATCCTGGAAAATGTTATTGTTACACTATGGAAAAGATTATATGTTAAGACATTTGTGAAACATGCGCAAATTGAAGGCCCATGGTCTGACTTTGACGTTACCTTGGTTAACTCGAACCTCAACATATGCATGCATGGACACCTTGATATGACTAATGTCCGAATTGGCAAGATTCGAGGTTGGTGTGCGGTAAAATTTGGATTTCTTTTTTTTTTTTATTAAGGATCATGTTAAAAATGCGGTAACATTTTGTTAAGTATATGAAAAAAAGATCATTTAACAATCTGATAATACATTGTAAGGAAAAGTGGTATGTAACATGAACATGATTAATTTTAGAAGTATTTTAGTGAGTTGATGATACGCGTTTTTTTAAACAATGTTATACTCCTTCTGCCGGCTTTAATATTATAACAATTTAAAATTATCTTTTTTGGAAAAAAAATGTGTGCTTTACGAATCGGGAAATGAAAATAGACCTGTAAAGATTTGGTTACATGAACTGAGTCACATTTTGAGTGCTTTGTTGTTAATTGACTCAATGTCAATATTTGTCACTAATATAAATCGCCTAGTAACTTAATTGGAGAGTAGTTACACGCTAGTGATTTCATCTATTCAAACTGACTAAGAGATTGGATTTCGCTGATCCAAAGAGATCAGTTTATCAGATTGCATTTTGATTCGATGGAGACCCGTAGTTTGACTATTCTAACGCCCCTTTTTGTAAAGTGAAATAATCAACTCTGTGACCTGTGAAGCTCAAAATCATATATTGTTTTTTAAAACTCTTACAAGTCTTACCCTTCAAATTTGGTACGGTTGTTAGAAACAGAGATATGGCGAGATTTGGTCTTTGGATCAGTGTGATACTGATGTGGTAAAATTATGTCCGTTGATATGATTACGAATTAACGTATTCTCTCTTTCTTAAAATTATTGTTTAGTTTAAAATTTCACTTTTAATACAATTTGAATTAGAAATGAAAATTCAAAGTGGATAATAATAATGGGATGGAGGGAGTATTAATTTAGAAGCATAAGAGGTTGTAGTGTAATCATAAAAATGTAAACACACTCTCACTTACCGAAATAATTGCTATTTTTCATACGACAAATCAGAAAAATGAAGTAGGGAAGAGAGAGAGGGGAGGGGGGATCCCGTGTATTAGATATATTCTTCGTGCGACAATTTGTTGAAATCCGCTGACGTTTGACATTCATGAAAAATTTGTAATTTTCAAAAAAAAAAAAAAAAACTAGGAACCAGATCGTTCGTGCTGAACAAGCTAACAGAATAGTACACTTTTTTACTATAATGGATAAAGTGAATCAGATTTGATTATTCCCTAATACAATTTTTAAGAATTTAAAACAAAAATTATGAAGAATGAAGGGAAAGAGAATTGAATGTATCTTCGGAAAGTAATTTAGTATTAAAAAAAATAAAACAAAAAAGTAGAGTTAATTAGTCAATAAGAACTTGAGAACTTCGTAAATCGAAAGTTAATTTCTGTTGGTATAGTGAGAAAAGGATTTTTCTTTTTTTTTTTTAAGTAAATTTGGAGTTCGAAAGTGTGCATAGCAGAAAATTAGACTGAGCATCGATCAGTCATGATTACTAGTGTGTAAGAAAAAAATTGACATTCGAAACAAAATAAGATACTGATAACTAATAGGTAGTACAAAATGGATTATTTTTCTTACGATGGGGGATCATCAATTGTAGTGAAAGAAATAATGATATACATGTTGTCCTAAATGAAAATCGAGTTAGTGAAATATGTTTATTCCATCAACTATTTAAATTTGAAAAAGAAAAAAAAAAATGAAAGAAGAAAAATTGCAAGGTTTGACGAGGTCAAGAATTTGTAGATAGTAGAAGAATAAAATGTTACTACATGGTACACAATGCACTTTCAACAATCAGTTCTATTAACCTCGTTGACGAGCGCCAATCTAATTTCCGATCAATTTCCTCACATGGCTATCTCTGTGCATTTCTCCGGTTATCTTGCCACCCCTCACCGGGTTGACGTGACTTTACCGGTGGTTCAGCCAAGAATATTCCAATCGCGGAAGCCTGTCTCCATTCGGTGCTCATCTAATCCGGCCGGGGACGACAATGAATTCGACACTAAGAAGTTCCGGCGCGATCAAAATAAGAGAGAGAATTATAACCGAACCGGTTTCTCCAAACACGAACAACAAACTCTTGAGGCCATGGATCGCGAGTACAAGAACAGTAAGACATTTTGATCTTTTTCATTTGAGTTTTTCGTTTTTTTTTTTCCGCTTAAGTTTCTTATCTTAGAATTTTAGTCTTAACTAGAAGAAGTTAGAAAACCGAAACAAAATTAAACTCCAAAATTTCTAATTTTTACGTCACTATTTTCTAGGGTACTTTCCGATATTAGGCAAAAAGGTTTTAATTTAGTTTAAATTGTTTGCGACATCTTTTTTCTTTTTTCTTTTTTTTTTTTGGGATTTGATGGTAAATAGTTTTCGTGGGAAATATGATTCAGGTGAAATCATGAAGACATTGGAAGAAAATGGATGGGACTTTACATGGGATGACGTGACGGTAAGACTAGCAAAAGCATATGGTTTTTGTTGGGGAGTTGAAAGGGCTGTCCGGATTGCTTATGAAGCCCGGCAGGAGTTTCCAACCCAGAAGATTTGGCTCACAAATGAAATTATTCACAATCCTACGGTCAACAAGGTCTTAATTTTTTATTCCACTCACCTAATTAGTGTTTAGATCAATTAGTTTTTGTCTTAAGGAAAATTAGATTTCTTTTATAATTTCTTTTTTCGCCATTCAATTTGTTTCAGCGTCTGGAGGAGATAAAAGTTGAGTTCATCCCGGTGGAAGATGGGAAGAAACAATTTGAAGTTGTTAATCAAGGTGACGTTTGTAGAAGAATCCACATTACAGTTGAGTTGACTTAGTCAATTGGTATATTTGTGCATATATTTTGTTTTTAGTTTCATACAGAAGAGACTATTATGTAAATACTAAGATTCTTGTATAAGTTGCGTAGAGTAGAAGTAAATAATACGTATGTAGCTCAGCTGGGTGTATACATATATATAGCTCTGTACAGGTAAAGAAAGTCAAGGAATTCACATGCACTGAAAAATCATATTCAAATTCTTCTTCCATTTTCTCCATTTTCTTCAAACCGGAACCCTAGCTCAAATTCAAGATGGTATCAGAGCAGGTTTAATCCTGCTCCGATAGCCAGAATCCAGCTCCGAAACAGCTCCGATTGACAGAAACAAGTCTTCTTCGGCGTGTTCGTTTGCTTCTGACATGGCGGAGGAAGAAGGAAACCGTCACGATGACCGTCAGATCCGGCGCAACGACGGTGTTTTTCAGCACTACGGAGGTTATACTCATCCTTTAGTCTTACTTCCTTCTGATAATTCAGCTTTGTCACTTATCAATTTCAAATTGACGGAATCGAATTACGTTACTTGGAATCGTGCAATTAGAAGAGCTTTAGGAACGAAAAATAAGTTAGGTTTTGTGAATGGAAGTTATCCAAAGCCTGCAGATCTAGGACCAGAGTATGATCGACGGTTGAGAGTTGATGAAACTGTTGTGTCATGGCTGTTGAATGCAACATCTCCTGGTTTGGTAGAAAATTATACTCTGGCTGAAACAGCACAAGAATTATGGGATGAGTTGAGAGATAGACATGCGAAGAGAAACGGACCACAGATTTACAGATTGAGAAGAGAGATTTGCACCATCTCGCAAGGAAACCAGTCAATTGCTACTTATTACTCAAGGCTGAAGAGACTGTGGGATGAGTTGAATTCTTTGGATCCAGCAGAAGAGTGTCAATGCAGAGGTTGTACCTGTGGACTCAGGACTGAAGGGGCCAAAGATGCAAAGAATCGTTTGTACCAATTTCTTACAGGCTTGAATGATACATATACAGCGGTAAGAAACAATATATTGATGATGGAGACACTTCCAGATGTTAAAAAGGCCTATGGAATGGTGCTCACTGTTGAATAACCGAACTTTGTTAATAGTACTTATGGAATGATCACGGATCAGAGTGCCATGTATACTCAGCAGGTTAACATGAACACAGGATCATCAGTCAGTTCAGGATATGGTGGAATGGTAAATCCTGTACATCCAACACAAAAGAACACCTCAGGAATGAATGGTGGAGGAAATGTTCCTTTTCATCAGCTAGATGATCAGAATGCATTTTTCACGAAGAAAGGAAGTTTTAACAAGAATGCAAAGGAAAATGAGTATAGAAGGGACAAAGCTCTTAAGAAGCTTCTCAAATGTGATTACTGCAAGATGCCAGGTCATATTAAGGAAGGATGTTTCAAGCTTATAGGCTATCTGAAATGGTGGAATGACAATCAAAAGATATCACTAATGAGCAGAAGATAGATGAAGGGAGCAGTTTGCAACAGATGATGAGAAGCTTACTTCAACAAGAAATGAGTAAAATGATCAAAGGGAAACAGACCATGGGAGACTCGCCACAAGTGAATTTTGCTCACTACCATGATTTTGCAGGTATGAGCAATTATGAAGTTTTAAGTAAACTGTCTGATGAAGAGTTTTTGTTGTCAAGTTTATGGTTCATTGATACAGGAGCAACAGGACACATGTGTGCCTTGTTGAAAATGTTTTCCTATTTCCAGCCTGTTTCTAATAATACCCCAGTAATTCTTCTTGATGGTAGTCACACATCCATAGAAAACATAGGCACCATTAAGCTTTCTGATTCCCTTGAACTGTCTGAGTGTTTGCATATTCTTACTTTCAAATATAACCTTTTATCAGTCAGTAAACTGGCCAGTTCCTCACATATTGACTGTTTGTTCTCAACAAACTTTTGTTTGTTGCAGGACCAGGAGAATAGGAAGATCATTGCAATAGGAAGGATGATGAACAAGCTTTATGTTTTAGACCAACACTCTTTTTCCACAGAAACCATTAGACAGTTTATATCTACACATGTGAATCATCCTTTTGTAATGATGCTTAGAGATAAGACAGTTCATACTTCCAATCTTGTATGTCATAATGATAATGTGTTATGGCACCACTGATTAGGACATGTTCCAGATTCCATATTGATTCACCTAGGAAAGTTCAGTGATCAAAATGGATCTGTTTCAAATAAATGTAATGTTTGCCCAATGGCAAAACAACAGAGATTAAAGTTTCCTATTAGTTCAATACAAACTACAACCTGTTTTGATCTAATACATGTTGATGTTTTGGGGGCCTCATGCACAAAAATCCCTTAGTGGTGCACAGTATTTTCTAACCTTAGTAGATGATTATAGCCGGGTAACCTGGACTTTCCTCATGCACCATAAATCTCAGACTACTTCTATCCTTGAATTTTACTTCAAGCAAATCCAGACTCAGTTTTCAAAAACTGTCAAATGCATAAGGACTGATAATGGTACTCAATTCTTGAATATTCAGTGTCAAAGTTTGCTATTAAACCTTGGAATCATTCATCAAAGATCCTCACCTTACACCCCTCAACTGAATGGGGTGGTGGAAAGGAAACATAAACATTTACTCCAAATTGCAAGAGCCCTTTTATTTCAGTCAGGATTACCAAAACAGTTTTGGGGGGATGCCTTGTTGACAGCCAGATACTTGATCAACCGGTTACCTTCTTCAGTCCTTCAGTTTAAAACACCATATGAGATTCTTTATTCAAAACCCCCAAATATCACACATCTGAGAGTGTTTGGCAGCCTTTGTTTTGCTACAAACACACTACCTCACAAAAGGAAGTTTGATGCTAGAGCTGTTAAGTCAGTGTTTATTGGGTATCCACAAGGGCAAAAAGCCTATAAACTGTATGATTTAGAAAATAGAAAAGTTTTCGTTTCTAGGGATGTCATATTTCATGAAGATGTTTTCCATTTCCTCAAAGCCCCTGATACTCATTCCTCGCAACCTACATTTCCTACACCACCACCAGTAGATAATATGGATGATTGGGATTTCCACTCTTTCCAGATGGCTGATCATCTTGACCAAGCTTTTGACCACACTTCACAAAATGTTTGTCCCAACTTCCCCTTAGTCAATCAGTCATTCTCCCCTGATAGAAATACATCAACCCTACCAGAGACAGAATTCACTTCCAACAGTCCACTTTCTAATTCAAACCCCACTTCTCAACCTATTCCAGCACCATTGGTCATTCGGAAAAGTACCAGAATAAAAACTCCTCCAGTTTGGATGAATGATTTCCTTCCAGAAAAGGCTTGGTTAACACAACCTTAGCTTAGTTCTTCTTTTCACATTCCTTCTTCTTCACCTCACACACCACATACATATCCCTATATACAACTACCATTTTCAACAGCACATAAGTCCTTTATTGCTCAACTGGATAATATCAAAGAACCAGCAACTTACAATGAAGCACGGCAAGATCCTAGATGGGTGGAAGCCATGCAAAAGGAATTGAATGCTTTGGAAGCAAATGAAATGAAACCTGGACAGTCACAACTTTACCAGTGGGAAAGAAACCTGTTGGGAGCAAATGGGTGTACAAGATCAAGCTACATTCAGATGGAACAGTTGAATGGTTGAAAGCTCGACTGGTGGCAGAGGGATATAATCAAAAGGAGGGAGTTGATTATTATGATAGTTACTCCCCAGTGGCCAGAATAGTAACAGTAAGATTGCTGTTGGCAGTTGCAACTGCATCAAGATGGAACATTCACCAGTTGGACATAAATAATGCGTTCCTGCATGGTTTCTTGGAAGAGGAAGTGTACTTACTTCCACCAGATGGTTATTTCAAAGCACAGACAGGGCAGGTTTGCAAGTTGCAGAGGTCACTATATGGATCAAAGCAAGCATCAAGACAGTGGAACAAGGAATTTTGTTTGCAAATTCAAGCTTATGGGTTTACTCAGTCAGTCAGTGACCCTTGTCTGTTTACTAAGACAAAGCCAAACAGTTTCCTAGCTCTTCTAATCTATGTTGACGATATTCTGATCACAGGATCAAATGAAGAGCTTATCCAGCAGGTCAAACAATATCTTGATGAGAAATTCACCATCAAAGACCTTGGTTTTGCAAAATATTTCTTGGGGATAGAACTTACCCGGTCTTCAACAGGTCTATATCTTACCCAGAGAAAGTATATCCTGGATATACTCACTTCAGCTGGTTTACATGGATGTAAGGCCACTACAACACCTCTACCAGCCGGCCATCAGTTCTCAGATCAACTTGGTGCTAATCTCTCTGATCCTTCTTCCTACCGAAAACTTGTAGGTCAGTTGCTATACCTCAACTTCACCAGACCAGATTTAACATTTGCTGTGCAGCAATTGAGTAAACATGTGCAATCTCCGTGTACGGATCACTGGAATTCATTGATCCATGTGCTTAAATACCTCAAAGGAACTCCAGATCATGGTCTTTTTTATTCCTCAGACAGCTCCTTCCATCTTGAAGCTTACTCTGATGCAGATTGGGGGTCAAATACCATTACCAGAAGGTCTACCAGTGGATTCTGTATCTTTCTCGGGTCTTCTTTGGTTTCATGGAAGACTAAACAGCAGCCAACCATTTCTGTTTCATCCGCCGAAGCTGAGTATCGCTGTCTCAGTGTCACAGCCAGAGAGCTTATTTGGCTCAATTATTTGCTCCATGATTTCCACATCTCTGTTCCCCTACCAGTATCTCTATAGTGTGACAATAAAGCCGCCATCTACATCACCGAAAACACCGTATTTCATGAACGGACAAAGGATCTAGAAATAGATTGCCATTTTGTCCGCCATCAATATGAACTCGGTTTTTTAGTCCCGCTGCATATTTCCTCTGTTCAACAACTTGCCGATATCTTCACGAAAGCCTTAGCTCATCCACAGTTTCATACATTGCTATCCAAGCTGGATTTTCAAAGTTACAATCGTCTTCCAGCTTGCGGAGGGGATGTAGAAGAATCCACATTACAGTTGAGTTGACTTAGTCAATTGGTATATTTGTGCATATATTTTGTTTTTAGTTTCATACAGAAGGGACTATTATGTAAATACTAAGATTCTTGTATAAGTTGCGTAGAGTAGAAGTAAATAATACGTATGTAGCTCAGCTGGGTGTATACATATATATAGCTCTGTACAGGTAAAGAAAGTCAAGGAATTCACATGTACTGAAAAATCATATTCAAATTCTTCTTCCATTTTCTCCATTTTCTTCAAACCGGAACCCTAGCTCAAATTCAAGAACGTTGTTGTTTTGTCTGCGTTTGGGGCTGCCGTTGGGGAGATGTTGATTTTGACTGACAAGAATTTGAAGATAGTTGACACTACTTGTCCATGGGTTGCAAAGGTACAATTTTTCCCTCAATTTTGAATCCATCACGAGTAGGTTTTTTATCTTTAGGGTTTCAACAATATTGTTCAAGAACATTTCTTTTACTTTCTTTTTTAATGTTTTTTCTCGCATTATAGGTATGGAACAGTGTTGAGAAGCATAAGAAAAATGATTACACTTCAATCCTTCATGGTAAATATGCTCATGAAGAGACCATAGCGACTGCATCAAATGCCAAGAAGTATATCATAGTGAAGAACATGTCTGAGGTACGTATATACAGTTTTCCCTACTCTATATATGATGATCTGTTGATTGATTGCTTTATGAACTTGAGCCAGTTATTTATACTAGTTGATCCGCCATTAATCGCTGTAGGCAACATATGTTTGTGATTACATTCTCGGTGGTCAGCTGGATGGATCTAGCTCTACAAAGGAATCATTTCTCAAGGTGCTTAATTTGTTTTGCCTGTTGAATGAATTTTTCTCATAATACGTACTCCCTCCCTCTTGTTTTCGTAAGTTTTATCTTGTGTTGTTCTATTACAGAAATTCGAGCTTGCAATCTCAGAAGATTTTGATCCTGATGTTGATCTTGAGAAAATTGGTATCGCGAACCAAACAACTATGTTGAAGGGAGAAACAGAAGAGATTGGTTAGTTTTTCTCAAAAAATATTACTCTATTCGATACTTATCAGAAGAAATTTTGTTTTGTCATAAAAGTCACTGAGTATGTTCTTTCAATTGAGGAAAAAAACTTAAAAATACTTCTTAATAGATAAAAGAGCAGAATGAATGTAAAATATATTTTTAAGATTTTTTTTTAATAAAAAAACGTAATAGACCAAACTTATGACAAATAAAAAATGTCTTATACAAAAACTGGATGGAGTACCCTGCATCATTAATATATCCTTTGATCCACCTTGACCTCGGGATAGAACAAGCCGACTACGTCCTCTTGAACTCTTTTTTTTTTTTTTTTTTTACATATTTCTTTCTTTTTGAAATTATTATCCAGTTTGACTTTTTCATTTTTAGTTAAAATTACACTAAAAATAAAATCTCAATTTGACAATAATTTTAGGATAGAATGAGAATCTTTTTCCAACGTTATCGAATTTTTGAGAGAGTTATAAGCTTCTATAAGCTGACCTTTTGTTTTTTTTTTTGTCTGGTTCTTAACAGGAAAATTGGTGGAAAGGACCATGATGAAGAAGTACGCAGTCGAAAATGTCAACGCTCACTTCTTAAGTTTCAACACTATTTGTAACGCAACTCAGGTTCGATTAGTTTGCTTGGTTATAAATGTAATTACTTTTGGTCATTCTTTCTTCATGCATCTGCAACAGAGAAGGAAAATGAAAGTTGACTCTTTTAGGTTTATTAATTTGGTATACCTCTTCTTCAAAGTGTTTCCATTTCTTCAAGCGCGTCCTAATTAATTATCAGAGTATCGTTTAGATTAGTAATTAAGCGAAGACCCCATTTGTCAATTCAGGGATCATTATAGGTGAGAGATGACACGTTTTCTCCTTTCATGTCTCAATGTGCAAACATTATTTCAAATTATATGTGCGCAATTCTCTCTGGCTAGAAAGTGGCCCTTCTAGCTCTGGTTTTTGTTGTTAGTTCCACGGGTTTTTTTTTTTTTTGCTCAAACAAGCAAATCTAGTAAATCAATCTTATTGAACAAATGTTTTTGCTGACGATAAGAATTTCGTTGCTAGCATGTCTTTTGAAGAATTGTTTGTCGACGAGAATTGGATAATATAGGAAACCTACCTGCTATTATGTACTACTTCCGTTTTTTGTACCTGTCGCTATAGGGTTTATGCAATTATTAAGAAAACAATCATTAATGATTTAATTTTCAAGTACATAGTCTTTTTTACCCTTATTTAATTTTTAACTACACCATTTTCTATAATCAGTTACATTAATTGAGAAAGGTAGAAAGTCTCGCAACTTTCAGAAAATTCATGCGGCATAGGTAATGAATAAAAAGAATAGCCGCATTTACATACTAGTACAAAATTTTTGAAAAAAAAATCTGAACAAAAATATGAAGAGTCACGCATAACATGTAAAAGTTTCCCACCAAAATATAGCAACATCTACGTATCTTGTAGAAGTTTCCCACCAAAATATTTTCAATCAAAATTTGGTACCTAATTGAAGAGTTTAACTCCCACCAAAATTAAATTAGAAGCTATAGAGACTTTACTATCTAAATTGATCAGGCCGAAATAATTTCATTCCAAATTTCATATAGAAATGGGTTCAATACATAAACATCTTCTTGAAATAGATTTAAATGTTGTCATATACAATCAACTATTGAAGGTGGGTGTACTATAGATTTTTATGTAATTGAACATCTTGAACTTCTTCTTCATCATCATCTTTTGTTGCTTTAAAAAATTTTCAACCAATTCATCTTCAAATTCCTCTACGGTAACTTCAAAAGAATCTTCAACCACTTGATGCATTAGGTCCTCAATATCCTCATCCATGGTAGTAAATTTTTTTTTTCGATGAGAGTAGTGAAAGTAGCGACGAAAAGGTCCAATACCAAAACAAAAAAAAAAAAAAAGATTTGATATGAATATGAAGAGTAAGATTGGAACTCCATAAGAATGCAACAAAAGTAAAAGCACCGTTCAATTTCCAAGCTTGATGATGAGGTTGTAGTATTGATTAAGTTTTGGGATTACGAAAGATAGTAAAATTACCTTTGAAATTTTAGTAGTAATTGACTTGTATTGGGATTTTACAACTCATTAACTTTAGGTGAGAGGTAAGGGTAAAATTGGAAAAAAAATCTTAAGACAATCTTGAAAGAAAACAATGACAGATAAAAAAAATATTTTGAGTTCACCCTAAAACAACAGGAAAAAAATATTTTGCCTAGAAGTTACAATCTCTTTTTCGGTCCATTGGGTTGTTTGGACTTGGTAATGATGAAAAAGTTGCTTATAAGCCCTTTACATGAGTTGTTTGTTAGCTACTACTCCCTTCATTTTTTATTATATGTCTTTCCAGAGAATTTATCAAAACTAAGAAAACATTGATTAATATAGTTAAAATACAAAAATACCCTTATTTATTTTTTATATAACTCATCACAAACCAATAAAAATTCATTATAACTATTGTTTCATTTCCAATGTAAGATTAGCATTGGTAAAAAGTTGTCAAATGTGCCTCGATTTGTGAAAACTATATATATTTAATAAAAATCACCTAACCCTAAAACGACATATATTTCAAAATGGAGGGAGTATTAATTTGATTTTCTTACATCATTTACGTATTTATTTAGTTTCCCAAGTAAAATTACTATTTTGTATATAAAATGTGTTATCTCTTATTTAAAAAAATTACATTGAATTTTGAAATTTATAAACTATTTTTTGAAGACAGAAGAAAAAATAGTTAATTAATTAATTGTCTCAGGAGCGACAAGATGCCATGTATGAGTTGGTGGAGAAACCACTAGATCTAATGCTTGTCGTTGGAGGGTGGAACTCTAGCAACACTTCACATTTACAAGAAATTGCGGAGGAGCGTGGAATTCCATCATATTGGATCGACAGCGAGCAAAGAATTGGACCCGGAAACAAAATTTCTTACAAATTGATGGTGCGGTAAAATTCTTGTTCCTGAAACTCTATATTCGTTTCAAAATAATTGTTTAAACAACTATTTAAAGGGAGGAACGATGTTAATTATATCTCCTCACCCATAAAGCTTATTTTCAAAGGGTGGAGAAGAAAATTCAGGCTAATTTTCGGTTTTGATTATCTATTCAAAAAAATGCTTTCTAGTTTCTAACGTTTTTAATGCTAATTATGTTATGATCCCCACTTAACAGCATGGAGAGTACATGGAGAAAGAGAACTTCTTATCAGAAGGTCCAATTACGATCGGTATTACATCCGGTGCATCCACTCCTGACAAGGTATATAAGTAGTCCGAGTGGTTGATATATACTCCCCTAATTAATGTAATAGGTCACTATGTTAAATTGCAATTTAAGACCGTTGACTACTATAATGAAACAAAAGAATAATGACTTACACATTTTTAAAATCATGCACATTTAATATCATTACAAGTAATATCATATATATCCTTTCATTTCAACATTCCTTTTATTTTTTTCAGGTTGTTGAAAATCTTCTTCTTAAGGTATTCGACCTCAAGCCTTCCAACAAATAAAGATTAATCTTGTTATGTACTATCTAGCCATTTTAGAGCTACCATGCAGTGGTTGTTCGTGAATTATTACATTTAGTACTTAGTTCAGCAACCTTTATATATTCTATGATGTGATTAAGTGTTGAAGCGTTTTCAATTTAATGCAACAAAGTGATAATTTAGAGAGAGAGCTAGCTAGGAAAATGCTAAGAGTATGCTTTATAACTGTGTTACTTTTGGGAAGACTAAAATCATTTGGTAATGAGCGATTCCTATGTAACCTTTTCATTTCCCTCCCCAATGAATGTATTTGACCAACGTTATGTGTTTGCTCAAAATTTAGCTTGTGTGTTTACACATTCGTCTGCTTCTGAAATAGTTGGCGGCAACTACACCTATTAGGCATGAATTACTTCTAGTGCTCTGTGTTTGAATTTGATTACCAAATAGTGAAAACAGTTGTTTAAATCTTCTATGTGAAGCCACTTCAAATACTACTGGGTCTCTTGTGACATTTTTGTATTAGACATCTGTGACATTAGATAAATGATTTATACGTAAATTGTCATTATTAACACTCTAAATAAATGGTAGGTAGATTTATTTGATTAAGTAGACACAAGTAAATAACTTAATTAACATCGAACCAAGTGCCTATAATTTAAAAATGTCACAAAGATATACTGCTGATTAAAATTGCAAGGACTCTGATAAAAGTTGTATTTCATCAAAAGTAGTGAATGCATCTATAAGAAGAGCTGTTTTACTAAACATTGGGTCTTTGTTTTCCATTCCACAATAATATAACTTGCCACAAAAATTAATGCACAGGGTAGTTACGCAATATAATTCATTTGTATTGACCATGAGACTGGATTTACTGATATCAAAAAATCTATTATGAAAGCGTTTTATTCTAGCACCCCTAATTTGACTATTCTAACTACCGAACTGATAAGAATTTATTTTTAAAACAATTTATGATTACTTAAGCTCTCTAATACACCTTTTAAGACCAACATGTTCTAGTTCTTACAATTCCTACCAATCCATGTTGGTAACGGTCGTTACAAGAAAAATAGTTTATATACTTTAAAATATACTAAACAATTAAGCTGAATGGGTGTGCCGTGCAGCTAGATGCAACATTTTGAAATTCCTACAAATTTAGCATTTTCTACAAAAAGAAATAAAAGTCCGAAAAGTGAGAACCTGGTCATCAAGTTTGTGATTTCCTATTTGAATAAATAAAATCAGATTTGTTAGAACCTCATTCTATATCTTCCTTCTCACATATACTAGGGTGGGTTGCCGCACTTTGTGCGGCTTGGGTGAATATTAGCCCAGTGGGACTATTTTTATTTTGGAGGGAAAATAGGAATGTATGTATTTTCGTAGAGAAATGAAAGCCAATTCAGATTAATTTGTATTTTCAAGAGAAATTCTTTTATACAATAACAAGTCTTAAACGATAACTGAATACAGTACGCCACATGACTCCATCAGTTGAACCACTTCTTTATGTACAATCTCAATAGGCTAAACTGTAAAAGTTGAGTCTAATTATGACAACTCCAGTTTCAAAATGAAAGCATTCCTTTTAACAAGGGAGAAAAGACCCTATATCCCGCGAAAGGTTTAGCACCATAAATTGCGAATATCTCCCTCGTGTAGATAGGGGAAAGTCTTCCATACAGCTATTATATCACTTAGGATTGTGCAGCCACACACACGAATAAGCTAAGACTGTAATTTTACCGCAAAAATTATCACAAAATTAGGGATTATAATATTTTCTTGTATAATAGGTGTGTTATTGCACTAAAAAAGATAATACATTTGCTGTATGGAATAATTTTTCAGTAGGCAGGCCCTTACCACATGTAGGCAGACAGCCCCTATCATTAACCATTAAGTAACAGTTAAATGCAAATAATTTTAAGAAAATTCACTAACTTCGCATGTTAAAGAGAAATTGATTGCATTGCGAATGTAAAGACTAATCCAAGTAGAGCAAGTTGCATTGACTCCTACCGGCTGCCATCATTATATTGATATTCTTATGTAAATAATAGGAGTTCAAAGCTAAACAATTTAATGAGAAAAAGCAGAGTCTGAGGCCACTTGAGCAATGGGCCTAATTTTTTGTTTCAACATATTAAGGACTACATATGATTTTTATTTGACAGCTACAGCAGGAAAAACTAATGTAAATGTCCTGAGTCTTAAAGGAGGAAAATAAACACTTGACAGCAAGCCAATAACCGAACACTTGAAACACGCAATTTGGGATCAACGCTCTTACGACTTTGTACAACTACAACATTGGTAAAACTCCCCAAACTATGCATTCAGTTCATTAACATGGGCGGAGCGACATACAAAGGAAGTGGATCAATTGCCCCAGTTGGGAATTTTTTTTTGCTATAAACCCCTTAAAGTTTTAGAATTTTCTTTTAAAATATTAGGAGCAAGTATATTATATTAAAAATTTGAAAAAATTCTAATATATTGAGAGCAAGTATATTAAATTAAAAATTTAAAAAATTTTACCCATCACATGTAGGGGGCTTGGCTCCGCACCTGCCATTAACACTTAATGGGCATCGAAGACAGATGTTGTCAGTGACCACAATAGGTACATCAATTCTGAAGAATGACATTTTCCTGTTCAGGCATCAAGCTGATCATGCTTTTTCTCTTCCTATCCAGGTTGGCGAATTTTCAACTCTGCCAATCACTAAATCCTTTTGCATTGGGGGAGCTTAAACCAACGTGAGGGGCATTAAATTAGTAACATCTAACTTATTGAAAATATGACAATTTGGTTTGCTAAGTTATGAAGTTCACTTGATCATTTAGGACTTCAAGATAATGAATTATTATATTTAAATCAAAAGCCGACCTCAAAATTTCACCTTTTATGCTTACAAAATCAGAAAATGCACAACACAAACTCAATCAAAATTTTCTGAAGTAAAGTAGCAACTAAGAAAATGGTGATCACTTACTACAGGATGTGTGCCTTCAAAAATTTTCACCACACATAGAGACACCAGGAACGATTAAAGATATGAGAAGACTATTGTACTATGGGAGAAACCATACGAGGGAAACTATGGATATCTCGGAAGTGGGTTATAAAATCTCAAATTTCCACAAAAAGTGTGATGTTACCAAGACCTTTGTACATCTTCCGGATGCACACAAAAGATCCTTTTTTCTTGACTACGTAAACAAGAACGTGTACCTATTTGACAAATTGAAGGGACTCACCCAAAGCTGTAAATTAGCTTCCCTGACTTCAAATAATCAAATCAATTGAGAATTTGTATGTTCCCAATTACATAGCCACTATCCCTCTAAATTGTTTCATTTAGAAACTCTGCGAAAGAAATTCAACAATCCCGGACATGGAACGCCTAATATGCAACAAAAACACCCATAACTTCGTAAAATATAGGCTACAAATCCGAAGCAACAAATGTAGAAATCATAAGGAACCAGAATTACAAGAAAGGAAAACCCATCAATTTTACTTGTTAAATTGAATAATTCCAGCGATAGAAATTAGGCGAAAGAAAGAATTTTAATCACACACTTGAACTTTCGACGAATAATCTCTTTGGGTTTAAAATTCAATTCCGAATTCAACTTGCCACAATGGGAGTAATTAATTAACCTAAGAAAATCCCATAAACATAGATACCAGGATCATACCTACTGATTTTTTCTCGTGGTGGTAATTGTCCCGGTCGTCTCTTCTCAGCACCTTCCGGTTGTCCATGGGTTCTGGCTCTCCTCGTTGACAAACAAGATCAAAGCCTCTTTTCTCGTCTGTTACTGGGATGACCATGCAAACATTTTCAGAAACAATTCATATTAGACAAATAGAAGAAAGAATGGAAGTTGAGACGTTGAGGGATTGAGGAGAGATTTGGGAAGATATTATTTGACGGGGAGGAACTTCATCTCACATTAGATGTCGCGTTGGATAATTGACCGCAGGACACGTGTTTAATTTTTAACCGACAACCGGACGAAAGCAGGCCCATGGCCGGTTCAACTGTCCCTTTATATATTGTAGATAGATACATGAGGTGCACGGTAACATGCATTGGCAAGGAAAACAATTCATCAGTTTACCCCTCTTCCTAATGGCTCTCTCTTTGCAATTCTCCCGTGTAACCACCACCCCACGCGCCGGTGACCTTTCCTTATCCCTATTCTGGTGCCGGAAACCTATCTCTGTTCTATGGTCATCCCACAGAGCGAAAAATAAGATTGGTACTAAATGTTCCCTGCGTTGCCAAAGTGAAAGCCCGAATTATGACAAAAAACGTTCCTCCAAAGACAAAGAACAGTTTCATAAGGCCATTAATCGAGGAAACTTCTCGTATTTCGTGAATAATTTGATTTTCGGTCTTCTGTTAGCTTTTATGTTTTGTGTCGTGCTTCCGGTACAAAGGAAGTTAGAAGAAAGCAGCCGTAGAACGAGAAGTATAACCCAAGAGCTAACTCGATCGGAACACAAAACACAAACTTTAATGGGCATGAATCCGGCCGAGTACCCAGCCGGTAAGAGATTGTAATCATGTTTCTTTGTTTTTTTTCTCAATTCTTTTTCTTTCTTGGAATTATGCTCAGTTCACGACAGTTTCTTTGGCAAACTTTGATCTTCCAGATTTTTTTTGTTTAATTGAAATTTAATTTCATTTCAGATGTTTAGTTTATTTAATCAATAGTGCTTAGTTTTTTTTTTTTTTGGTAAAATGTAAATATGTATTGATCACCTTCAAACTTTACAACCTATCTCATGCTATTACATACTTTCCTATACAAGATTTAGCTCAAAAAAGTCAGGAAACATGCATTTTGTCTGGATTTTTGTAAATTCAGTATTCTACACTTCAGCTCATGCTGGATTTTGCCAACCTTCTGCTCTGCCAGCTCCTCCAATCCAACAAACCTCCTGTTGTTCCTTTCTAACCAAACATGATAAACTGTAGCATTTAAGCAAGCATACAGCAATTTCTATTTAGCTGGTGCAAACTTCCAAATGTTGATCAGTCTGCCTGCATTCAAAGTCTTAATCTCTCTTCTGATTCCAAGCCAAGCCTACAATCCCTTCCATATTCTCAGTGTATAGCCACACTGCATAAACAAGTGCTTCCCTGTCTCCTCTTCACTTTTGCATAATACACATCTTGGTTCATTAACCTGGACTGTCAACTTCTTCAATCTTTCCACAGTAAGTAATCTGTCATGCCAGGCCAGCCAACTGATGAAATTATGCTTAGGAAGTCCAAGTGAATTCCAGACTACCCTTGCAGGTACAAATTTGTGCTGGTCTCCTCTCAACCACCACCTGTATCCACTGGTTGCATTGTACTCCTTCCCTCCATTATTCTTCCACTTCCCATTCAGTATTCCTGGTGCAAATACCTCCTTAATCTTATTGATCTTCTTCCAATGCCAGCTGCTATCCTGAGAAGGTTTATACTCCCACCAACTTTGCTGTTTAATATAATAGATATGAACCCACTTCACCCATAGACTTTCCTTCTTCTTGGCTATATCCCAAATCTGCTTTCCCAGAAGAGCTTTATTCCATGCTCCTGGTTCTTTAACATTTAACCCTCCTTCTCCTTTGCTTCTGCAAACTAACTCCCAGGCCACCAGTGATTTTGATGCTCCATTCACTTTCTTGCACCATAGAAACTCTCTGCAACTTTTACTGATTTGCCGGATGACACTTTGAGGAATCAAGAAGATACTGGCCCAATAAGAATTCAAACTGAGTAGTACAAAATTGACTAATACTGTTCTTCCTGCATAAGATAAATGCTTTGAAGACCAGCATTTAATCCTTGCAATAATCTTGTCTATCATCATTTGACATTCTTTCTGAGTCCAAGCAGTTGGTGAGAGTGGCATACCTAAATATTTCATAGGAAATTCCCCAAGTTGAAATCCCATAATCTCCTGGATTTCCCCTTTTACTTCCACTGATTTCCCTCCAAAATACACATTTGATTTCTGATTATTCACACTAAGTCCTGTCACTGCTTGAAAATGAGTAAGCACATTCTTTATCTCCTTCACTGTTTGCAAATCAGCAGCACTAAATATCAATAGATCATCAACAAAGCACAAAGCAGTGATCTTAACCTTTTCACAGTACGGATGAAGAGCTATCAGGCCATGATCCACCTTATCCTTGAAGCATCTTGTCAAATATTCCATGATCATAACAAATATCAAAGGTGATATAGGGTCACCTTGTCTTAATCCCCTCCTTCCTTGGAAGAATCCTTTTGTATTCCCATTCAGATTCAAGGAATAAGTACATGTAGTCATACACTCCAGAATCCAGCCTATGAATTTACTTGGAAAGCCATACTACTGCATCATTTCCTCAACAAACTTCCAGCTTACTGAATCATAAGCTTTCCTTAAATCCACCTTCATTATACAACTTGCTTTTGCATCTTTCCTGTTATATTTCCTGATCAACTCTTGGGAAAACAGGATATTATGCAGTATAAGTCTATCTTTAATAAAAGCACCTTGATTCATATCTATCAACTCAGGAAGAACATTACTTAATCTTTTGCAAATCATCTTAGTAATGCACTTGTAAAGTGTATTACAACAAGAGATGGGCCTGTACTCAGTGGCATCTTTGGGATTAGCATTCTTAGGAATCAATGAGATCACAGTAGCGTTTATTAGCTTCAACAACTTACTAGTCCTGAAGAATTCCAATATAGCTTCACAGACTTCATCTCCAATGGTGCTCCATGCTTTTTTATAAAATTCACTGCTATAACCATTTGGACCAGCACTCTTATTGCTATCAATACTGAACATTGCTTCTTTTACATCAGCCTTAGTAAAATCCTTAATCAGGAGTATCTGTTGTTCTACAGACAGCTTAACCCCTAAACTAAGTATTCTACCATCAGCTAGTGTATGATCATCATCTTTCCCAAGCAGGTCTTCAAAGAACTTTACAAAGTGATTTTCCACTTCCTGAGAGTCCTCTTCTAATTCTCCATCACTTTTAGTGAAAGATCTGATTCTATTGATGCTTCGTTTCTCCCTTAAACTGGCATGAAAATATTTACTATTAATATCTCCCTCCTGTATCCATTTATCCTTAAGCTTCTGAGACCAGAAACTCATCACATGTCTGCATGCTTCCACATATTCATCTCTGGCTGCCTTCTCTTCCATTTGCATGGAAACATTCTTAGGATCCATACTTAGCTTGTCCTGGATCATGGTCAACTTGCTATGACTTTCCTGAAATTTGACTTCCACATACTCAAACTTCCTTCTATTTAATTCTCTGAGTGGCTGTTTAAGCAACTTTTGCTTGCTAACCACACTAAACTGTGTGGTTCTTGTGATTTTCTTCTGCCATACTTCTTTAACAATGGATTGAAACTCATTGCTCTGAGTCCACATATTAAAGAATCTAAACGATTTCTTGCCACCAACTGGATCATGTCCCCATCTGATAACCAAAGCACTGTGATCTGAGATTCCTGCTGCCATTACTGTGGTATAAACTGTATTAAATTGGTTGAATCAATCTCCATTCCCGAAGGTTCTATCCAGTTTAGCCATGATACTTTGATCACCAATTTGCCTATTCCACCATGTATATTTTCCACCATAGGTTGGCATGTCCCATACTTCACCATCTTCCATCCATGCTTTAAACTTATCTGTATCAGTACTGACTTCATTCCTTCCTCCTAATCTCTCTTCATGGTTGATTACAATATTAAAGTCTCCCATTATTAGCCATGCTCCAGTGATATGATCAGCAATCTGTTTTAACTCCTCCCACAGCTTAATCCTCCCCTGAGCCTGATAATCTGCATACACTACTGTCACATAGAACCAGCACTGAGTAGTGAGATTTTTCACCCAACAATGAACAAACTGCTCATTAACAGTCTGTATTTTAACTTCATACTCTACTTTCATCCATAACACTAATATACTGCCTTTGTTCTTCCCTTCATGATTACTACAGTGTTCATATTGATGTACTTCTTAATCACTATCTCTTTAGCTTTTTCCCCTGTTAATTTTGTTTCTAATATGCCTGCAAATCCAACTTTATTCATAGAGAGGTATGAAGTGACCTCTCTATGTTTCAGAGGACTATTAAGTCCCCTAATGTTCCAGCTCATGATGTTATTCATATGTACTGGACCCTATAAAAGGGTTACTAGTGTCAGCAAAATATATCACATTAATTGAGCTTACTCTTTCACTTTGTCTTCCACTTACCACCTTTATTCCTTTTTGATTTTGGATCATCACATCATCTTTCTTATTTTCTATTTCAGATTCACTTGAACCACTCTTTCCACTTGGACTTGTCTCCCTGTGTATCTTTCCCTTGCTTAGTGTAACATTCTTCTCCACTTCCTCAGGAATCTCCTTCTCTATTCTTTCCTGTATTTTCCCAGTGTTGGCTTTCATTCCTTGAACAGACTGACTGCCATTTGTTTTTTCCTTCCATTCCTATGGAGTTGGATGCTTGCAGATTTTAGTCAAATGTCCAAATCCTTTGCAATTCAGGCACTGGATTGGCTTCCATTCAAACACTATCGGTTGTTCCTGCAATAGGCCATTTTCATCTTCAAACCAAATAGAATCCGGAACCTTATCAGCTATCTTAACCTCAACTAAGACTCTGGCAAAAGCTGTTCTCATCTTTTTTGAGGTCATCTCATCCATTTCCAGTGGAATACCAACAACACTCATCATTCTACTTAAGGAGATTGCATTCCAGTACCTAAGCTTCAATTTTGGCAGTTGTATCCACACTGGTACCGATTTTATGTCTTCCATAGTTATATCCTTTTCCACTAACCAATCTTTCACAATAAATGGCTTGTTATCAAAGTGGTAAATACTATGCTTCAGAATGTTCTCCTTAGCTTCCATTGTCTTAAATCTGATCACATAGATTCCATTTTCTAACAGTACCACCTTATCAATTCTAGAATTTCCCTAGTTCCTTCTGATAAATCCATTCATAACAGGGAATGGAGGGTGAGCTCCCAACACAAAACAAGCCACCGCTGTTTTCCAATATTCCACTTCTGTCTGAATTTCAGCCTTAGTTACTCTGCTAATCACACGATCGTGGATCACAGACGGTTCAATGAATGAAAGCTTCCTATCCACCATAAGTTGCTTCGGATCAAAACCCTGCCATACTCCCTTCCCCAGTGTTTCCTGTTCCTCCAGATTTCTCCCCGATCTCTCACTCGCCAAGCTCCGAGAGCTTTCCCCCACCTCAATTACCCTATAATTCCCAATTTTCTCCAACGATTTATTCACATTAATTCCAGATCTAGTTTGAGCCAAGCATACTTGATCCTTAGCTAAATTGTGCACGCAAGCAATCGTTTGCAGTTTTCTTTCATCTGCTGGTTGCTCTTGATGTTCGATGACAGCTGCTTTGCTCTTCTTCTTCGTTCCTCTTGCCATGGTGGACGTAGCTTCGTCGGAGCAACGAAGTTGACGTCACACACTTGAAAGTGTTTTCGTCCACAGTCACGAGAGCATAGTCAACGTAGTCAACAAAAAAATTAAAGTGTTGCTTAGTTTGTTTAATTCATGATATTCTTGTTTTTTTCATTAATCAAATCTTTAGAAATCTCAATTCTAGTACAGATTTTCAAATCTTCAGAAATCTCAATTTTTTTTTTTCATTATTGTCCAATTTAGATTTTCAATTCTAGTACAGATTGAACTAAAACTGAAAATCTAAACTGAACAATAATGTTGGGATAGAGGGAATATTTTCTTTACTTCTCATGAATATTGATCACTATTTGCATGTTTTAATTAAGGTGTTAAAAGATAGAACTTGATTTTTAAAATTGACATTAGCTAATAGAAATATTAATCTAAAGTGATGAACTACAAGAATTATTACGTTTTCTTGTGTATATTACGTATCTATGTATCTCGATCGGAGATATGGAAGCATCTCGTAGTTCTTCTGGAAGATCCCTTGCATTGTTATTGCAATGAGTATCCTTTGAATTGAAATTCATTCGAATAAACTATAAACTAAGGCATTTAATTCTCTATATATATGTATTATGTTTAACCTTGTACTTTGAAGATTTTATCTCCGGTTAATGCTTCATTGTATACTGAACAACTTCAGCTTATTTCTAGTAATCCCTATAATTATGAAAGTAATATGATAAATTTGAGTAAGAAATTTATTTATAACACAAGAGAGTAAATTCATACAGCTATAAATTAAATTTATCCAAAGTATAGTCCTAGAGTACTTTGACTATTCTAACGCCCCTTTTTGCAAAGTGAAATAATCGACTCTGTGACCTGTGAAGCTCAAAATCATGCATTGTTTTTTAAAACTCTTACAAGTCTTACCAATCCAATTTGGTACGGTTGTTACAAACATAGATATGGCGAAATTTGGTTTTTGGATCATTGTAATACTGATGTGGTAAAATTATGTGCGTTGAGATGATTAAGAATTAACAAACTCACTCTGTCCCAAAATTATTGTACAGTTTGAAATTTCACTTTTAGTATAATTTGAATTAAAAATGAAAACCTAAAGTGGACAATAATTATGAGACGGAGGGAGTATAAATTTAGAAGCATAAGAGGTTCTAGTGTAATCATAAAAATGTAAACACACTCTCACTTACCGAAATGTTTGCTATTTTTCATACGACAAATCAGAAAAATGAAGTAGGGAAGATGGAGAGAGAGAGAGAGAAAGGGAGACAAGATTACGATAAGAAAGGGGATCCCGTGTATTATTATCCTCTGTCGTCACTTAGAAGGCTTGATAGTTTTAAATTTATTTTTTGTTATAACTCCGTGATTGTTTAGTAATCTAGATATTTAATAACAAGAAGTAATTTTAGACTAATTTGATTTCTTTTTATGTGAGATCAACCTGAAACAAGGAAGAATTGTAATCGTATATCAAAACATTCTGTATTGATTATAATTTTTTCAGCAAAGGATTTAGTGATGATGTCTCCAAATCTATATGGAAACTAGTGGACGAAGACCCTACAAAAAGAAGGAGCTGCATCAAACGAATTCCGTGGTTGCTGAATGGTCTTAAGCATAGTTTAATTTGCTTGAGGATTTGTAATTTGCTTTGGGACTTACTTTCGCATGTCTTAATTGTAAGACACAAATTTAGACTCAATGTGAACTTGTGGCTTATAATTAATACCAGAGGGAGGGAGTATGTCCTAATAAGATCCAAGACGTTTATTTGTTTCAACTACCGTTTTCTTTCTTTGTCTTTCCCAAACTCATGTATCAAATCGTATTTGCTTGCTTTCTATTCTTTCTCTACTTCTAAGATCATTGACGGCAACTACACCTATTAGGCACGAATTTTTCAATAGATAGAAGAATTGATCAAAAAATTTAAAATTGTTCCTATGATAGTGAAGTTCGAACTCTTAGTTAAAAGTGGAAGAGTGTTTAGGACTCTACCAAATCCCTTTTGGTTGTCTAGGGTTCTCAATTTGACTTTTCTAACTCATTTGTTGACAAGAAAAATAAAAGAAACTGTGACTAAATCTGTAAAATACACACCTCTATGACCAATAGGTTAAAATTTTTACAAAGTCTAACCAATCCAAGTTGGTAATAGTTGTTACAACCATACGGCTTCTCGATTATTCGTCAATATTGATCCATTTAACAGAATTTGTAAAAATTTAACGGTCAAATTTGGTCAAATGTCAACTTTTTATTTTTTATTAACTTTTTTCAGGTTGTAGGGCCACTTAAGTTTGACTTAACGCACTTTTGGTCCCTGAATTAAGGGGGGTCATAACTTTTGGTCACCATTAAATTTTTTATGACAAAATTAGTCACAAGTTCACGTTTATTCATCATCATTGATCCACTTAACTAAAATTTTAAAAAATTAACTGTCAAATTTGGTCAAACGTGAATTTTTTATTTTTTATTAATTTTCTTTTAAGTTGTGAGGTCCACTTACATTTGACTTTAAACAAAAAGACAAAGGAGAAAAAATTAATTTTCTTTTCTTTCTCCCGCCACCCCTTTAATAAAAAATAAAAAGTTAGCGTTCGATCGAATTTGACCGTTAAATTTTTAAAAATTCCGTTAAATGGATCAATATTGACTAATAAACGAGAAACTTGTGACTAATTTTGTCAGAAAAAAAAATCTTAATGGTGACCAAAAATTGTAACCTCCCTTAGTTCAGTAACCAAAAGTATGTTTTGTCCATATATATATATATATATATATATATATATATATATATGTATATACATGTGTTAAGTGAACTTTGATGATATATGGTTTGAGTTATGAGATATGAATTGTAGTTATTATTGAAAATTAGAAGAATTAATGTTAAAGAGCAAAAATGATGTCAATGTTAAACTTTCGAACATAGTGTTAGGTGGAATATCAGGATAGGTGAATTAATGAATAAATATTTAATGAATAAATTGTAAACGTTCTAGTTAGTTTTCAAATAGAGAATACGTGTTGAGAAGCCAGCAAAAGAAATCTCCACTCACACAGGTAGAAATTGTATGAGTTAACTATATTTTTCCTAGATTTAAGATATTGAAAAATCAATGAACAATGTGCAATACTCATAAACATTGTTAAAAATCTCAAAATACAAAAAATACTTAATAGACGTTAGTTAAATTATAGAATTAATTACCAGAAAACTCTCAAAAAATTGCCCACTATATTCATTCAAAACTGTAAAGTCGAAATGTCTTTAAGTGCCCCAAGAAAATTAATTTTATTCTTTTATCACTTTTCCGTCAAGATTCCGTCAAAAGAGTAACGGTCAACTGTTTAAGACGTTGACTTATTAAAAAGGTCATTTCGTCTTTTTAAAATTTTTGTCTTTTAATCTAATTTATAACTGTTAGATTTCATTTCCGACTAAAAATTAAAGTATTGTTTCACCCAAAAATAAAAAATAAAAATACAGGGTATGTTTGTTTCGTTTTTTTAGTGTGTGTTTTTAGGTATTTTTTGTATTGGAAATGTAAAAAGGTATGTAAAAAAGTATGCTGGGAGGAGACATCTAAAAACTAAACAAACAAAGTCACAATATTGTTCTTTTTTTTATTATTTAAAATTTTACTTTTTTGAAATAAGTATCCATAAAATTTTTAACATCAGAGCAACATAATTAATGAACTAACTAAGAAGAAAACAACTACTTAATTAATTAACTATTCAGCGGCAGTAATTCATACCCTAAACAAGGTCCCCAATTTTTCCTCAAAATTGCTTCAGTTATTTTTGTTTTTTTTAAAATTTTTTTATGAAATCAAAATTGCTCCATTTATTGATTCATAACAACAGTCTTCTCATCCACCACGTCCACCAGCCACGGACAATTTCCCGGCCAACTTCCCGAAGCTATACTACTGGAAGTACTTCTCAAGTTACCGGAAAAATTACTGTTAAGATTTAAATGCTTATCAAGATCATGGAGACATCCGATTGACAACAAATACTTCACCAATCTGCTCAAGTCATCCAAAACAATTGAAAATCCCAAGATGCTTTTTTTTTTTTTGTGGATTTTAACCCTTGAGAGGGAGATGTTCTGATTCTAGTTTCTAGCCTGAACAACAAAACTTACCGGCCAAAACAGAGGAAGGTTAGAATCACCAAATTGGCCTGGCTCCGCCTTCCTTTCGAAATCTAAAGTTCACGATTGTTGTAATGTCATCATTCGCCAACACAAAATTAACACAATTTTCAAAAATCCAAAACACAAGGCTTGCTCAAAATCTTGTCATATGGAGCAAGAATGCCCTTAATCTCCTTCTTCGACAGCTCATCCATGTACTTCCGGTAGAAGGCCCTTGCCTTTACAATTGACTGACGGATGGCATAGATCTGGGAGTATGACCGCCTCCTTTCACGCGGATGCGCATGTCAACTCTGGCGAAGTGGTTCGAGGAGTAGAATTGGTTCAAAAGCCTTGTAGGGAGGATTTCAGGTTGGACTAGCTCGATGAGAACGCCATTGATCTCGCTCAGGCCACGGCCTCGCTCGCATTGGGTAACAGCCACCACCATCTTCTGCCGGCCGAAACATTGAACGGCTTCCGTTGGCTGCATCCATGGTGTTTTCTGTATAATATTACCCTAAAATGGCTGCTGCTGAGTATAGAAATTGAAATGAGCCCCAACTCCCGCTCTGATTGCTGGAACCATTCGAAAATTCTGGATTGGATTGAAAGGCAAGGTGGGGGAGGGGATTAGAGAAGAGTAAAAAAAATAGCTTTATGATGTAATCCAACATCTTGTGACAGTGAATTTTTAAGATCTAACATTACTTTATCATTTTTATACTTTGGAATTGGTTCTTTCTTGGGTGGGGGAGATGGAGGTGGTGGCGGGCTGGCGGCGACTGCGGCTACAACGTGGAGAAGTGGAGAAGGAAGGAAGAAAAAATGGGGTGCTTGACTTTTGGGTAGGCTAAACCAAAAAATGTGGAACAAAAAATGTGTAGGGTTTTTTTTGTGGACAAATATAATGTTTTCGCGCTTTGAAAACGCGAAACAAGAAAATTGGATTAAGAATTCGCGTTTCTGAAACGCGAATAATTTTAATCACCTTTCAAAAAATTCGGTTGAGAGAAGAAATTGAATAAAAAAAGCACAATCATTTCTCGCGTTTCGGAAACGCGAAAAATTGTTTTAATCATTTTTCGCGTTTCTGAAACGCGAATTATTTTAAACATCTGTCAAAAATTCCGTTGAGAGAAGAAATTGAATTAAAAAAGGGTGGTCATTTTTTCGCGTTTTGGAAACGCGAAAAATGTGTATAGCGTTTCAAAAACGCGAAAAATTATTTAAAATAAGTTGCAGTTTATAAGAATTTAGCGTTTTCAAAACGCGAAAATTTTTTTCTAGCGTTTTGAAATCGCGAAATATCTAGAAAATCTCCTCATCCACTCATTCGGATCCACGTGTACTTTGATGATAAGTCTTTGAGTGTATTTGCGTTTTGTAAACGCGAAATTTAAGGTTTATATACTGAACCAAGCAAAATAACAGCATTTTTTCGTTCATTCTGTTCAGGTCCGATTTTAAGATTCTGTGAAAGCTCTCATTTCCTTCAATTTGTGAAATTGCTCCGAAGTTAAAGAAGATTGATTTGAGTCCTGAATCCGTAAAAGCTCTCATTTCCTTCAACATTCAGGTAAGTTAATTTCGTTATAGAAAATATGTACTTTTTTATGCCTTATTGTGAGCATAGGATGATTTACGCATTATTATTAGTTAATAAATAATTGTGATTTAGTCAATTAACGGTGATTTTTTAATTAGGCTGATAAAGTGAATTGAAAGAAATATTAGTTAATAGAATGTTAAATTAGATTAGCGTTTTGTAAATTATTGTATATCGATTTCTGTAAAATAAAATAAAATTATAATAATGATATTGAATTTTTGAATATTTTTAGCATAAGAATAAATTATGTAATGCGGGCATAAGGTTTAGATTTTATATTAATTTTTAGCATAGAAATGAATTTGTAAATTCAGGCGTATAGTTGTTCTTTTGAAATTATTAAATCTATAAACGGGGTAAATACTGTTTCCGCAGAACTAAAAATCAAAATGTATGCTAGTGTTCTGATTTCGTAGGAATTGATTTTGCAGGCAGCAAATGTCTTTCACGGAGACAGTTCGTCTGAAATTATACTGGAATACTACTTATACAACTGAACCTGATGGGACTATCACGGTACAGCGGGATGCGCCGGACGGTTATCTTATCATTGATCGTATGTTAGATTTCTCGGAACTTGTTGATAAGGTATTAAGTGTGATCGGAGTTGATAGAGAAGGGCTGTATATTGATTTTTCTTTGGTATGGACGGAGAGGTCAGGAAAAAGGTCTCGTGTGCACATTAATGATGATAATACTGTTCGGTTCATTTATCTTTGTGCTGATAAATGGCCAGAATTGTACCCTGAAAAAGTTGAGAGAACAGGCCATGTTTATGCAAGTACATCTGGCCAGGATATTGGTGCCAGCACTAGTGGTGGTAGAACAGATTGAAGACAATGAAGATGGAGATGAAGATGGAGATGAAGATGAAGATAAAGATGAAGATAAAGATGAAGATGCAGATGAAGATGAAGATGTCGGGGGTGTCGAAAGCAGTGATGATGAGTACGTCCCATCGGATGAGGACTCAGATGACGACACTGATTTTGAGTCATCTTCTTCAGTCCCATATGTTTTCGACGACATAAGTGGATGGGACAAGACTTTAGAGGAAGTAGAAAACGATGGAATTAAAATGTGGGATGGCAATCCGTTGACGCTAGGCCTTGATATACATTTCGCCAACAAGCCTGAGGCACAAGCGGCAGTGGGAGAATGGAACTTGGTACATCGTCGGACTTTCCGGGTGAAAACGGCAGGGACCCAGAGACAGTAGTTTGTAAATTATTTGTAAAGAAGCTACGGCAGGGACCCAGAGACAGTAGTTTGTTGTTTCTCCAAAACGCCCATAGGTCACACAATATATTCCATGGTGCACAGTATGATATAGGGATTTCGGAGCCCAGGCGCGTAGATAGCGCCGCGTGGAAATTAATAAAAGATGCACCGAGGTTGACAAAGGAATATATTGAGAAACAGTTTGTTGGATGGCTCGTTGGCGGATTACTGTTCTCAAACACTACGAGAAACAGTTTTCCTCTCGATCTTGTGCATTTTCTTCATACTCCTGAGATTTGCTCGGAGTACAGTTGGGGTAGTGCGGCACTATGTTACTTGTACCGCAGCATGTCCAGGTCATCTCTGGCCGCTTCTGCCAAGGCTATTACCGGCTGTGTGATTCTTCTTCAGGTATTTTATCTTTTCATTTCTCTCTAGTTTCATTTTATATTCTCCCATTATTATTGGTGATTTTAGCTAATGATTTCTTCATTCTGAATTAGCTCTGGGCCTGGGAGCGGATTTTGACGGTTCAGCCCAAGATACTGGGTGGGGATCTCGATCTATCTGATTGTCCATTGGGCACGAGGTAATCTTATACATCAAACCTTCGTAAATATTGACATTTTGATTTGTACTGTCATGTCTCAATTTAATGTTACTTTCTCCGTGCAGGTGGTCCCCCGAGAAAAAAGTTCAAGGTATCACGCGGTTCAATTTGGCCGCGTACCGGGATCAGCTTGCAGTTCTCGCAGAGTCTGATGTTAGTATTCTATTCAATTAGTATAACTTATATTTTATTCGTTTTTTTTAACGGTGTCGAACTTTTAATTACACGTCTCTTACTTAATTACCATTGCAGTTTGTCTAGATGCCGTACACGACTCTTTTGGGTCGTATTGCCAGGGTTTGTCTTGTGGGACAGGGCATATGGCGATCTCAGACATGGCTCATCTGCGGTGATGTCGTTGCGCCACACAACCCCAGCAGGGTATTTCGCCAATTTGGTTATCACCAGCGGATACCCGGCGACGCATTACTTCTCACTGCGGCGGAAATTACTAGCCTGCTCAAGAGGAAGCCGTTTGGAGGATCCGATAGGAGATGGTTACAACAACTAGGGATATATCTCCAGGTTTGGAATGATCACCACGGCCAAGTTGTGGGGACTGATGATCTTTATGTTGGCGAGCCTTCCGCAGATCCAGAGTATCTCTTGTGGCGCCATCAGGTTACTGTGAAGTATGTTACGGATCCGACGGACTCTGAAAATGCGAGGGGTTTTCACGGTTCTGCAGAGACCTTGCGCCTCATGGTGAGTATTTCGCCTACAGTCCATTTGGTTCTTTTTATTATCACTGTTGTCGATTTATGATTCTTTCTAATAAAAATTTCAGGCCACATTGATGGAGGATGTTCGTAGTCTGAGTATTATAGGCCAGCGTACTTTCGACGCGGACTCCTTTGGTTATGATCGCTTAGGCGAGATTGCCCAGGTTGCTGAGCGGGCGTTGTCCGTCAATGCAACAAATGTTGTACGTCACGATCTCGATAGGCATGTTGAGGTTCATGACATTTTGAATCAAGAACTTGCACCTGTAGACCCGACCCAGCAACATCCACCACCCAGACCTCCGAGGCGTTCGCGCAGGTCTCAGCGTGGGCGTGGGGGGCAAGAGACAATCACAACATCTCAGCCACATCAGTCCTCCCAAAGATGAGCGGTCTCATATTCCCTTCACCGGCGGTTCATCCCATCAGTCTCCACATCAGTCTCCACTCCATTCTCGACAGCATTCAGCCCATCAGTCTCCACATCATTCATCCCATCAGTCTCTACATCATTCTTCGCCGACCCAACAGGCGTTTTACCGTCCGATTATGTCTCCCCAGCACCAGCAGTCCAATTTTTCCTTCACTCAGTTTTCCTCCCCTCAGACTTCTCAGCGTCAGTTTGGAGATTCTTTTATTGACTTTTCTGGGTTTCAGCAGAGTTCGCTAGATGGCCAGTCGATACATTACACGAGTAACTTTCTTTCGAGTATGTTCGAGGGTGTTGCGGGTCAGCATCAGGCTGATAACCCAGCTGAGGGTGAGCGTGAGAGTCAGGGTGAGGATGAGGCTGAGGATGAGGCTGAGGATGAGGCTGAGGATGCAGACCAGGATGATCAGTTTGAGGGTCAGGGTTATCAGCGCCATGAGGAGCAGGGATCGAGTCAGACTCTAGGGACTCCACCGTTGGCTGTGAGTAAAGGCCAGAGAGTGACGAAGGAGCCCGATAGATTGACTTATAGCCTTTTTCGGGCTAAAAAGCCCAAGAAGAAGTAGGGTACTAGACTTCTTATGTAGTATTATTAGACTTGTATTTTTTTTTCCCTTTTGTTCATTTCTGTTTTTTTTCCTTTTGTTATGACTTGTTTTATTTTTTTTTACCTTTTGTTATGACTTGTAGTATTTTGTTATGACTTGTATTAATATTTTTAATAGTTTGATTTCACCTGCATCGTAAATACAATAATTAATATTTATAAAACACATCTTCGCCGATCAAATCGAAACACATATTTAAACTTTCTTATATATTTTTTCATAATTAATAGTTGCTTCATCTTAAGTGTTGGTAAATTAAAATAAATATTTAATAAAATTTATTCTTATTTTAAGCTTTTTTCTTATATTAAAACCATCATAATTAATAAAATTAATTTGTAAATTAAATTACATCTCATTAAATCCATAAAATTACGTCATTATCATTATTGAAAATTTTTCATATAAAATTATTTTTTAAAATAATGATTACATTTTTAATAAAAATTTTTAATATAATCATTATTAATTTTTTTTATATAATGTTCTAAAAAATTAATACATTATAATAACTATATCATACTTTTAATAATTTATATTTAGTATAGCTCTATTTTATTTAATGAGTATCAATTATAATATTATATTCTTATTCAAAATTTAATTTTCGTATTATTAAAATTATCAATATAATTTTCCTCTTTATAGCTCTATTCAAAATTTAATGATTAACAGTTATAATTTTAAAATTTTCTGTTACCATTATTCAAATTTAATAATTTTTTGAAGTCAATTTTCCTATAACGTTTTAAACTAGTCAAATTAATCATATTTTTATGCCTATTTTCTTTTTTATTAAATAAAATATTTTTTTAATTAATTTCGCGTTTTCAAAACGCGAAATCTTATTGATTCAAGTTAATTAATTAGGATTATGTTAAATTAATTTTTTCTCCTTCTTTTTCGCGTTTCTGAAACGCGAAAAATATATATTCGCGTTTTCAAAACGCGATTTTGTGTTTTTAGCATTTTCAAAACGCTGATTTTGATTTTTTCGCGTTTCTGAAGCGCGAGAAAACTATTTTTGGCCACAATTTAAACCCTAAACATATTTTGTTCTTCATTTTTTTTTTCAGTTACTAATAAGTAAATTTTCCAGAAAAAATGTGACGAGGGAGAACAAAAGTTTTAGGGTTTTTTTTTTTTATTAAAAAATATTAGAACAGCATAATTCAAAAAAAAAAATTTCTAAAAAGACGAAATTATCTTTTTAGTAAGTCAACGTCTTAAACAGTTGACCGTTACTCTTTTGACAGAATCTTGACGGAAAAGTGATAAAAAACAAAATTAATCTTCTTGGGGGCATTTAAAGACATTTCAACTTTATAGTTTTGAATAAATATAATAGGCAACTTTTTAGAATTTTTGTAGTAATTACTTCTAAATTATAAGTTATATTTTTCAATAATGTAGTTACATTCGGCCTACTATATTTTCCGTCTAGATTCTCTACTGCTCATGACTCTGGTAGTGAGCACCAACTTCAGCTAATTAATTTGTCATCGTACTTTTTTTTTTTTTAAGTATCTAAACTTTTAATTTTTGGGCAATGATAATTGATAAGAGGCTAATATTAATAATCATTGATTAATTCTGAAGTGCCTAAGTAACTGTATTGTACTATACAGTTGAGTTTTTGGGTCAATGCATGCATCATAAATGTAAAGCATTTAGTAGACGAAGACTTTTCACAAACTGTCCGATAAACGCATGGAAAACGGCAAGCCAAGATTCCAAGTGACACATTCTGAAGTGCCTTGAATTTTTCGATAGTCAAATGAATCTTTTTATTTTATTTTATCTTTTCTTTAGTATTTTCTTTTTTAACAAAAAAAAAAAATCCTTTAAACGGAAAATTCTAAATTGGATGAGCTTTGAATGGAGTTAACTTCCTTGTAGTATTCCTAGGTTTGATTATATCAAACATTGTATTATACTACCTCCGTTTTTCTTATTAATCGTTTTAGGGTGAATCTAAAGTATTTTTTTGTTTGTCGCATTTTATTTCTAATGCAACATTAAATACTGCTTTTCTAATTTTACCCGTATCTCTCTCTATTTTTAATAACATATATTAATCACAACTACCTACTCTTTAACTTCAATTTAAATTTTTTAGAGTTCCAATACTTCAAAAAAGACAATACCTTTATCAATTAAATTCTCAATGATTGTTTTCTTAATACCTGTGCAAATCCTAAAGTGACAGATAAAAAAAGACGGAGCTAGTATAAAACAATGGAGAAGGTTTTATATATATATATGTATGTGTATGTATGTATATACCCACAAAGTCTCACCACACTCAAAATTTATTTAAATTTGGAATGTTTAAAAGATAAACTTAAATATTTTATTTCGAGATTGGTACACACATATTATACACCTGAAATTCAACATCACTACCCTTTTACTATAAATAAAATGCGAGTTAAATATGTAAATATTGACGGCCACAATTCTATAACACTTCTTGTAATACAGTCTTAAATTCTGACAAATGTCCTTTCGATCACCAATACATGTCTGGAAAAAACTTGCAAATAATGTTACATTTGGCCATGGTAAGTTGATCCGAAATTTCAGGGCAGGCTCCATCTCTTAGAGTTTAACTTAATTACCAAAAGTCAACTTCATTCTGAACACTTTGTCAACATATCAATGGCTGCTTTATGTAATTATTATACTTGACTTCAATAGGGCGATATATATTTGGCCAGTTGCGTTGGTTTAATCGAAAGAAAAGAGTTAGATGTTTGTTTCCTGTAATTTTTTTGGGCGGTTTTTTACTTTCTCAAATACATAAAATGCAGCACCGTTAAGTCTTCTACATTGTCTGCAAAAATACTAATGCATACTAAAAAGTCTTTCCTTCTGTGTGGCATTCTTCTCATCGATCTCTTGACATAAGTAATGCACATAAATACCAATTGAGAGCAATGGAAAACAGTGTGGATGGAAACGAGATTGAAGCACCAAATAATCTCACCATCGGAGGGACGCTAAGGTTTCTTATGGCCAAAACAAATGTTGAGCAAAGCAAAAAGCAAGTGATTTCTTTGGCCATTGGCGACCCTGCTCGATTCGGCTTCAATATCGATGTTGCTGCTCAGGAAGCTGTGCTGGATTCACTTCTTTCCGGAATATTCAATGGCTACTTTCCTACCAGCGGACTTCCACAAGCAAGAAAGGCTATTGCGGATTATCTGTCTTCTGATCTTCCATACAACTCGTCACCTGATTATGTCTACATTACCTCTGGATGCACTCAGGCTATCGATATGGTAATATCTGTCTTGGCTCGCCCTGGGTCAAATTTTCTATTGCCTAGACCGGGTTTCCATACATACGAAATCTGTTCCAGTTTCAGAAATATTGAGGCTCGTTATTACGACCTCCTGCCCGATAACGGGTGGGAGGTTAATCTCGAGACCGTTGAAAGTGTGACAGATCTGAATACTGTCGCAATGGTTGTTATCAACCCTGGAAATCCCTGTGGAAGCGTTTACAGCCACGGGCATTTGGAGGAAATCGCGGAAATGGCTGGAAGGCTTCGGATCCCCGTCATTGCGGATGAAGTCTTCGGGCACCTTGCTTTTGGTGCTACTCCATTTGTTCCAATGGGTGTTTTCGGATCCAAAGCACGGATTTTCACGCTGGGGTCTTCGAAAAGATGGTTTGTCCCAGGATGGCGCCTCGGATGGCTCGTTATGAACGATCCCTCGGGAGAATTCCGAGATCCAAAATTGGTGGAGCGTGCCAAGAAGTATTGCGATATCTGTGGAGGTCCAGCGACTTTTATCCAAGCCGCTGTTCCTTGACTCATTCAGCAAACCGCTGAAGCGGGTTTTCTTGCCGACACCAATAAAATGCTGATGCGGACTTCAAACCTGTGTTATGACAAGCTAAAGGAGATCCCTTCAGTTGGTTGCAGTTTTAAACCTGAAGGGTCTGTGGCGTTTATGGTAAAGCTCAACCTATCAGTTTTGGAAGACATGGGCGACGACAAGGAGTTTTGTCTTAAGCTGGCCAAAGAAGAGTCTCTCATCATTCTTCCAGGATTTGCTGTCGGCCTTAATAATTGGATCAAAATTGCTTTTGCTGCAGAACCTTTGTCCATTGAAGGACTTCGAAGGCTGAAGGCTTTTTGCCTGAGACACTCCAAGCAACAAATAAATGCGGCCTGAATTCATGTGATTAAGAGAGGTTATACAGCTGCTCGAAATTAGAGTCAGCTACATTTTAATTGTATTGAAATTTTGGTCTTTCATGTTGTTTCCTTTCTTCGGCTTGCTGTGTTCTTCATTTCAACCAATTCGAATTCAGTTAAAATTTCAAAGGATTTATACCATCAGAAAGAAATTTTGTGGTAACATCAACCGTAGGGCATGTCTTTTTTCCGTTAATTCATTTTAGTTCATAAAAATACAACAATCATTTTTGTAGAAAGGTGTGTTAAATAAATGGTGTCTTCGTTATTAGTCTCAATCTCAAACTGTTATAATTTTAAACTCTTTCAACTTGTAAATACGTCCCTTTTGTTTGACTTTAGTGGGTGGGAGGGGGTTTGAAATTCGAGACCTTCGTTAGAAAGAAAAAGATCAAGACAATACATTAGCCTTTGTTTAGTACTCTTTTGTTTGCTGCGCGCGATACGTACATTTCTCACAGCCATCATTAATTATGGTTATCTAAATGAAGAAGAACTTATTATACGTAAGTTAAACAAAAATTGACGACAATGACACTTATTTATGTGCACACCTTCGAATCTTATAAGAGAAAAACTATGTGCTTGCCCGGCGTTGCCCGAACCATTTACAACATTATATTTCAAAATTAAATATACAAATGGTAAAAGTATTTTTCAACTTTAACTCAACTTCTTATGTTTTAAATTTTAGAAATAATAAAAGAATCATTTATTTATATCATTAATATCTTATTCTATTACCATTAATTGATTGATTATAATTAAGGATAAGGAAAGTTAAAACAACTAAAGATTGTATAAATTAAAATTTTTTTTCACAAAACTATGTAGTTTTATTGGGCAGGAAATGGATGCATGAGAACGCAACACGTCAGCCTTTTTTTTTTCTCTTAGACTATTGTTTTAATAAGATATATATATATATATATATATATATATATATATATGTAGATATATTGTGACAGTTTTACGATTAATAGTTAACATATTTTCATTATCATTGATAATGATATACTAGATACATAAAGGAAATGAACTTCATGACTAGTCAAGCTTAAATTCAAATCTTCAAAACTATTTTCAACCGTGTCCAAGTAAAGCAATCCAAATTGGCAACGGTTGATTTAGTATTTTTTAAGGGAAAAAAAATCTCCCGATTGATAATTATGATGACGTAGAGAAATTGGGAGTAGGTATGATTATTTCAATGAGGCATTCAAATTGATGCATTCTGATCGATTGGCTACTTCAGAAGTAGGACTAGAAGTTATGGTTTTGAAAAATTGCAGCAGAAGGTTAATGTGTCCTTGTATAGGTAACATCAGCACTAGAACATGTGGCTTGGTAGTCATTGGTTTTGCAATCATCGATATCACAATACGTTCAACTTACCAAATACTTTATTTGTAGAATCCGCAATTTTCATGGCCAATTCATCTAATAATGTCAAATTTAAATTAGGATGTACTTCATTAGCCTTCTGTTGAATTAAACTAAAATAATGAGGAGTTTCCTATTGAAAACCACTCGCACAAAAAAAAAAACAATAAAAAAGGTTAGAAAAGAGGTTGTAGATCTGTCATCTATCTGTCCTAAGATGTCGTCATGACTAGTATTCTGGAGTCCGTATCCAGTGCACCCAGGTGTACCGTATACCCCCACCAAACACACGCGCAATACACGCTCAACTGTTTTCACCTTTACATTAAATGCACAAACAAAATTGTTTTCATCCATTTCATCCTCACGCACAAACACACACAAACACACAGTCGAAGGAAACTCTCCATTTTAGGGCAAATACAAAATTGACCATCACCACAAAATTACAGAAAGTCGACGAAAAACCTCCGCTGGAAGACGATTTTGATAACATCATCTTCTCTCTGCGTTTTTCATTTTGTCAGTCTCTTCTTTCACATACACACACACACACACACAGACGACGGCGAGAAACCCTACCTCCGGCCATCTCAAGCTCTCCTTCATCAAAACATGCTTCACTCGTAAGTATATTACTCACGGATTCTATTTTTTTTATTATCCAGCTATATTTTGTGTTTATCCACTAGATCTGAACTGGTTATCCATGTTTTCCTTCGTATGCTATGTGATGGTTGTCCATGCCATAATTGCTGGTTATCCACCCATTTCATACTGGTTATCCACAAGTTGTAAACTGGTTATCCATGCTTTTTTTACATTTAATTCTATGTGGCATGGACAAACTGAACTGTTTATCCATGTTTTTGTGTTTTTTTGTTACTGATTATCCACTATATCTGAACTGGTTATCCATGTTTTCCTGCGTGTGTGCTATGGGGTGCTTGTCCAAATTTTGTTTGTGGTTATCCACCTATTTTATACTGGTTATCCGCAGGGTGTACACTGGTTATCCATTGTTTTTTTTAGATGTGCTTTTATGTGGCTACTTATCCATACATTATTTGCTGGTTATCGACCCATTTCATACTTGTTATCCACAAGTTGTAAACTAGTTATTTACATAGCATACTAGTTATCCACCCATTTCATACTGGTTATTCACAAGTTGTAAACTGGTTATACACAAGTTGTAAACTGATTATCCATGCTTTTTTTACATTTGATTTTATGTGGCATGGACAAACTGAACTGGTTATCCATGTTTTTGTGTTTTTTTGTTACTGATTATCCACTATATCTGAACTGGTTATCCATGTTTTCCTGCGTGTGTGCTATGGGGTGCTTGTCCAAATTTTGTTTGTGGTTATCCACCCATTTTATACTTGTTATCCGCAGGGTGTAAACTGGTTATCCATTGTTTTTTTTAGATGTGCTTTTATGTGGCTACTTATCCATACATTATTTGCTGGTTATCGACCCATTTCATACTTGTTATCCACAAGTTGTAAACTAGTTATTTACATAGCATACTGGTTATCCACCCATTTCATACTGGTTATTCACAAGTTGTAAACTGGTTATACACAAGTTGTAAACTGGTTATCCATGCTTTTTTTACATTTGATTTTATGTGGCATGGACAAACTGAACTGGTTATCCATGTTTTTGTGTTTTTTTGTTACTGATTATCCACTATATCTGAACTGGTTATCCATGTTTTCCTGCGTGTGTGCTATGGGGTGCTTGTCCAAATTTTGTTTGTGGTTATCCGCCCATTTTATACTTGTTATCCGCAGGGTGTAAACTGGTTATCCATTGTTTTTTTTAGATGTGCTTTTATGTGGCTACTTGTCCATACATTATTTGCTGGTTATCCACCCATTCCATACTGGTTATCCACAAGTTGTAAACTGGTTACCCACATAGTATACTGGTTATCCACCCATTTCATACTGGTTATCAACAAGTAGTAAACTGGTTATCCACAAATTGTAAACTGTTTATCCAGAAAGTGTAAACTAGTTATCCACAAGTTGTAAACTGGTTATCCGTGCTTTTTTTACATTTTGATTCTATGTGGCATGGACAAACTGAACTGGTTATCCATGTTTTTGTGTTTTTTTTTTTGTTACAGATTATCCACTATATCTGAACTGGTTATCCATGTTTTCCTGCGTGTGTGCTATGGGGTGCTTGTCCAAACTTTGTTTGTGGTTATCCACCCATTTTAAACTAGTTATCCGCAGGGTATAAACTGGTTATCCATTGTTTTTTTTAGATGTTCTTTTATGTGGCTACTGGTCCATACATTATTTGTTGGTTATCCACCCATTTCATACTGGTTACTCCTTTTTTGATTACTGCTCCTTTTCATATCCTGCTATTTTGTCCACTAACTTCTTAGTGATTGTCTAATGCCAACAATACCATAAAGGAGCTTAGAACAAAACATAGGCACGGACGGATCAGCGCAACCCACGACTTTAACCGCAACCCAGACAGATGACCGGATCGTGAACCAGAGGTAATGGAGCTCCCTGACGGAACACTGACGATATTTAAAAAACCAAAATCAACACAAGAAGAACAGTCCCCTGCTCGAAGTCCAAGGCCGCACAACTTGTGGAGGAAACCAAAGAGAAAGAAGAGCACGCCGACAAGAAATCCAAAGCAACTTGTGGTCGCTGATGATAATGACTCCGCTGATGATAAGAAGCACAAAAAGAAAAGAAGGAAACCTGAGAACAAACTGATGATTGGTCAAGATCCATAGCCAATCAGTTCTAAACATTGTGTCAAGAAATTTGAGACCAAGATGACACCAAACCATCTCTTCCAACTCATTACTGAAATCAATAAACCAACATATCTTAGAAGAGCCAGATGCGGTAGATTATCACCAACTACAAAGGCAGACTATCAGAGATATGGGATTTTGCACCTTTCTGGATCTCAAAATCAAAAATATTCCAACACATTATGTAGCTTTCTGGCAAACAATTTCTAGACCGGTGCGAGACAAGTCCCATTGAATAGCAACAATGTACTGGATATCAAATAGGAAGATGTTGTTGCTGTACTTGATCTTCCTCGTGGACCCAAACCAGTGGAAGAATTCAAACAAAACGATCTTGCTATAACAGAGCACGCAAAGATGGTGGATGCATTCAAGAAAAGAATGGGATACAGTAATAAATTCCTGCCAACAAGATCCACGGCGGCACAATTAATTGCTAGTCGAAAAGATTATGGTGATGACTTCAAATGAGATTTCATGGTCTTCGTTGTGAGCACATTCTTACATGCAAACACCACCTCCAGAATCACTATGAACATCTTGAAGTCCCTTGTGAACATGAATGAGGTGACATAATACAATTGGTGTGAATATGTGATTGATGCACTGGTCATTCCCTGTGATCAAATGTTGGGATCAAAAGATGCTGGACAATAGATTAAGACTTCAGAGAAGCAATTTCACGGATGTGCAGACATTCAAACGTCTCAAGAAACCGTCCTTAGCAGCATACCGAGAAGAACACCCAGAGGGGGAATCACAGAAGGAGGATACACAAGGAACCCCAACACACAACAAGTCTATGTAGTGTTCTACCATTTTTTTTCAGATTACACCAACGTATCCAACCTAGCATCTCCACATTCCACTCACTACATTCACTTTTGCAGGACCTTGCTGCTCTTTATGAAAAGTTCTACCGATTGATTATCACGATGAGCAAAACTGTTTTAGACATACGTGAAAAGGAAATGAAGTTAAAAATTGAACCAGATGAACAAGCAAAGCACACAATCAAGATCCTAACAGATGCAATAGTGTCGATGAGTAGAAAGCTGCCTCCGCCTACAAGGATAACGCAACACCAACAAGAGCAGCAGCAAGACCCACAGCATCCAGAGGACCAACGGCATCAACAGGAGCAAGAGCAATGCCGAGAAGTAGACCTGCAATATGGACAGATTTGTGAATTATGCGAGATGGCATGGAAAGCCACTGAATGCAGGTTTGCAACAATAATAGAACGGCTGCAACGACAAGTAGCTGACCAACAACAACATCAACACCAACAAACTTGTGACAACACTTTACAAGCTCCAATTGATTCCACAAATTTTCAAGACATTGAAATTGACCAAGCACAGGGACTGGAGCAATTGAGCGAGACAAATGATGAGGATTCTGTTCCAGTACGGAAATTCTTGCCTACTTCAAAAGAAGTGATTGTTGATGAACAACAAACTCAACCACAAGGTAATGAATATTTTTGTCACACATTTCTTATTGCTTATAAAAAAATAAAAAAATAAAAACCAATGTCCACCTCGTTCGTACTCGTTATCCAACCGGTTTGTATTGGATATCCAATTATTTTAACTGATTGTCCAAATGAGTTTGTATTGCTTGTTCAATCATTTTTTTTTCTCTTGAGAAAAATGCTTGTCCAATTAATGTGTTCGTACTGATTGTCCAACCCGTGCTATTGTTTCTCCAGTTTTTTTTTAAGGAATAATACTTGTCCGATGTGATTGTACTTGTCATCCAACTAATTTGTATTGCTTATCCAACCCCTTTTTTCCCTTTAAATGGTTATCCATTGTGTTCCTGCCGATTATCCGGCCTGTTTGAACTGATTATCCACTTCGTTTGAACTGGTTATCTAATGTGTCCAATATATATGTATGTTTGTACTGATTATCCAACATTCCAACTTTGTACTGCAGCACATGGAACGAATATATCCACAACAAAAAGGAAGAGAAACCAAGAAAAGCAAAAAGTTTCAAAAGCTTGCGAAAGAAGAAGAGGAGAAATGGCAGACAACATATCCGATCAAGATTCCACCGGCCAGGACAGAGACACACAAGTGGAAGACAAGACAAAATCCAATCATGAATCAACCAAACTGGATTCAGGTGTGGCACCCACAACAAACCAAACTGGTGCAACATCCACCTATACCAGAAGGACGAGAAGCACTGGTACCAGGAAAAGGAAAGTATTCAAAGACCTAATTATCCCACATTTTGGCCTGGGTATCTTCTCTAGTCAGGAAGACAGTTACGAGACAACCCATGAGAAGAAAAGAACACTGAGGAAGACGATTCAGAAAAACAATTCAATGAGCATATCAAAGATGATGATGTTCTAGTACCAGCTCCAGTTGAAGAAACGAACAATCCCAGTCATTCCATCGAAAATATCACAGGAAGTGTCGATTCGAATAAAGATGTCGATGAGACTATCGAAGCTAAAGAATATCCAGTACCATCTGCACTCAACGAAACAAAGAATCCCACTCCTTCCATCGATAAAATCATAAGAAGGGCCTGTGCACCATCTTCAAAATCATTAAGTGATACCAGAAAACTGGAGATGATTGCCGCTGCTGCAGAACAAGTTGAGAAGAACTCAGAGGTGGTTGAAGCAGTCCCTATAAGCATAATTCCACCCGATTAGAATATTGCTTCTACCACGGGTGGTCTACTGATGCTGGAGAAAAATGAGTGTACCACGCCACAGCCTGCAATCTCACAGGAAGCTGATGAGCTTGATGAAGAGTTAACAAAGTCAGTGGAAAAGTAAGTTTGATCCACTGTGACTCCCCACTACAAAATAAAAAGACAAATTTACATACTAACTCTCTTTTATTTTGTCCTAGGATCCTCAATAAAAAACCTAAGAGGAGACATCCAGCAAGAGTCCGCCAGTTGCCTGAACGGTTCAGGTCGCCATTTATGCTCCAGAAGAAGAACAAGAAAAAATTCATACAGTGGACAGAGGAGAAGAAGAAAATGACCCAAGAAGAAGCCCTGTTGATAGACTTCGCTCTCTTACAAAGAGAAGAAGAAATAGTTAAATCAGGATAAAAGTCACCATCCTTACCCGTGTGATAAAAAACTTACCAGTGTTCCAACTATTTGTCTATTTGACTACTTTTTCTATGCAGAAAACTCTTGTTTGAATTTGGAAAAATAGTTTGGGCAGACAGGACAACATTCTATTCCATGAGCGAAGGGACATGGATAGAAAACAGCATCATAGATGCTTGGGCTATCATCCTAAACAAAGAATAAGCTAAGAGTGACTCCCCAACATTGATATTCTTTGGTGTTTTGTCATTTGTAAGTCAACTAAACCCTTATTGTTTATCCCGCCCTGGTAAAATACTTGTCACATGTCTGCAAGTTGTTTATCCATATGTTTGTACTTATTACCCAATTTGTTACTAATGCTTGTCCACCAGAGTTGAACTGGTTATCCAAGCCTTCTTGTTATGCATTTTGCTATGGGATTGTTTCGTCTCCCTTCTATGTGGTGGCTTGTCCATGATTCATTTGTTGGTTATCCATCTATTCTGTACTACTTATTCACAAGATCTGAACTGGTTAACCATTCCTTCTTGTGTGTCATCTAGGGTACTTTTGGTTGACCTTGTATGTGCTTGATTCCGATCATTGTTTTCTACTGCATTTTCAACCATTATATTGATCATTGTATCATTTCCAACTATCTCAAACAATAACGCAGGATAAAATCAGTTGCTACTATGAACAGGGCAGTAACAAAGACGAAATGGAGTTCACATTTTATGAGAGGTTGGCTCTTGAACTGGAAGAACAAGGCCTTGCTGTAGCATCCCTGTTAGCAGCAAAAGCTGTAAGCAACATCTTTCACCCCCTTCATCTTTTCTAAAACTGGCTGTTAAAAAATTTTCATATGATTTCCCCCTTCAATGTGAAACATCAGATCTACTTCCCAGCATACTACCGAGATCATTACTTTCTGTATGTGTTGCTGGTTGAAGAAATGAAAGTGCTTGCATTCAACAATCTTCATGCAAAATATCTGGACTACTATAACCCAACGAAAGATCTACTTACCCAACGAAAGATCTACTAGTGAGTGAAAAAAAGATACAAAATGATTGTCATACTTTAAGAATTATCCATTGCATTTTGCTGATCCCTGGATTTTATGGGATCACAGTTTTGGTTCTTCAAAAGTTACATTGCATGTGTGTTTCCACACATAGAACTGGTCAGTACTCAATACACCTTCACAGAGGTTAACCTACCATCGGATAAGGACAAAACGCCGAATGGGGAAGATTGTGGAATATACACAATGCATCACATGGAGCGGTATGATGGTGGTGAGTACGGGGATTGTACTACTTTGGATTTCAACACAGGAAACATCAAAGACTACAGGTGGAAATACATGATAAGAATCCTAATGCACCCAGTCAACAAAAATAAGAATAAAATCCTCGAAGCAATGCACCAGTTCTATACAAATACTGCTGAAGAACAACAAAAAGAAATTCTAGATCATGTTGATTTGAGCAGTGAATCTTACTACAATGACAGAAAAACTGGGGGATGGGTTAAATGAACTGTCATTATGTTCTCTTGTATAATTGATTAACTGTTGATCCTAAAGTGTTTGATATCCAACAGCTGTGTACTGGCCATCCTAGTATATTATCCAACCGTTTGTAATGGTTATCCAGGATCTTTGTACTAGTTATCCAACTTGTTTACACCTGATTATCAGAATGTTTTATAGTGATTATCCAGCCAAAAAAATGCAAGTACAGTCTTTAACCTGATTATCCATGAGTTTATACTTGTTATCCAAAACCTCAATACTGCTTATCCATATATATCCAATGCCTATCCACCATGTGGAAATAACAAAACAAGGATTCATACAGGGATTCCAAAAAGACATAACAAAAGTCCCCGGATGGTACTGGACCTAAACATAATCACTGTTGCTAGGTATGTTCCAGGCATCATTGTCGTTCCATAAGAAAATATCCAGACAATGTATTTTGGTTGTCCAAATATTTCTGTAAATTCCCAAACAATAAAAATTGAGTGTCCCAATTTCTTGGTCTTTCTACTTCTTTGTTAAACTGCCTATCCTATGATGTTATACTGCTTATCCAATATTTCTTTGCTGATTATCCAATGCTCTGTATTGATTATCCAGGACTTTTGTACTGGTTATCCAGCCAATGTGCAGAATAAGTTATGCATCAAATTAACTTAGATTCCATAAATTAACATAATTTAAAACAGCAATAATCCGTCAAACTACCTCTGAGACTACAAAAAAGGCTATCCAACCAGATTATCACCGCCGGCAGGAGAGTCTGTTAATTAAAGAAGCAAACGGCATGTTAATTGGGGGCTTTGCCCCCCATGATAAACTAAACGACTCCCGCAGCTACCAGAATCGCAGGTCACCAACCTGCCCCGGTTGCGCCGCCCCGCCGAACACGCCAATGTAGCTAAGGTAATCCTTTTTTCGTGGGTTGTTTAAGGAGAGTGTGTGTGCGTAAAGAGAGTGTGTTATTGCGTTAAGAGGGGACACAAATTACTTGTATAAATCCTCTCATGATAAACTAAACGACCCGGCTGCGCCGGTGCCTGCGGCTGTGCCGCCTTTCGCGGCTGTGCCGCCCCCATGCGGAACATGGCAAATGTCATAAATAGTATTTAATTGAATGAGGGGCAGTTTGCCAAATGATGGAGAACAAAAAATGAATGAGGGGCAGCTGGATAACCAGTGTAAAAGTTACGGACAAGGATATCTAAGAAAAATATAAAAGGAAAAAAATGATAGTCCACGTTGTCAACACTGATTATCCAACAGGTTAATAATGGTTATCCAGTCATTTTCTAATAACTTTGAAACTGGTTTGCACTGGTTATCCAAAATGGTTATCAATACTTTCCCAATGTGTTAGTACTGATTATCCAAGCGGTTTGTAGTGCTTATTGAATTTTTACTTTGTTTTTCTTCTTTATGAAAAATGCTTGTCCATAGTGTCAACACTGGTTATCCAGCTGTGTTTAACTGGTTATCCATAGTGTGCACACTGGTTATCCAAAGTGTCAATACGAGATATCCACAGTGTAGAGCATGTTACTGTGTATAACTGTACACAGTAATTAAATAGAATTTAAAAGATTGAGGGAGTAAAAATAAAAAAAGAAAACTGAAAAGGCTGATGTTTGTGCAGAGTACATCATGATCTAATGGGTAGTTACAGAGCCACACGTTTTTAGATGGAATGGATTGAATAAGGATCAGTTACATAACTATCATTAAATGAGTTTCTTGGTTATCACAATGACAGTTAATGAATAGAGAGTGAGAAGACACTGATTTGTGCAAAAAGATAGGACTGCATGGGTAGTTAATCCGTCAAACTACCTCTGTCAATATCATAAAAAAAAAAACTACCTGCAAAGTCTCCATAAAACTCCCTGACATCTCCACATACAGCATTTCTATAAAACTCCCTCATCTGCACATACACCAGAATGCCTGATTTAAGCATCCAAAACATCCAACAGCCAGAAAAAAACGAAAAACGAAAAAATTTCCTCAAATTCCACAACCAAACAAATGTCACCCAGGCAAGCAAAGCAAGAAAAGAACAACTACCCTGAATATATCCATCGCAAAATGTTTGATAATATGTTCATTAATCTGACATTGGAAAAAATTGGTGAGTTCCATCGTGTCAGTAAAGCTTGGGAGCAAATGACGAAAAGACAAGAATTTGTTCTTAAAAAACGTGAGATGAGCTACCCTGCAACTGAAAACAACATCCTTGTTTTCACTCAAACAAGCCAAGAAGGTCACCTGTTGCAAGACAAGCTAATCGCCACCAACATAAAAGTGCAAATGGATAACCCATGCAACCACATACGATTGCAAGAAGAGATGTCGATGGGTGACGACGACATCCATAAAATCATGTCTGTCACCACAGATTTGGTCTGTCTGCAAACCAGGTCTCAAATCAAATTCTTGAACCCAAAGACAACACAACTTGCATCAATTGAATGGCCATATGACGTCCCTCTCAGCAATTGGGTACGTATCATCCTCAAAAACTTACGTTTTCATGGTCCTTATTGCCGATGGAAAAAAAACATGCAAGGCTGCATTTTTTCCTTTCAAAGTTGTTCAAGTATTCATAGAGGGGAATGGAAAACACTTTGCAATGTATATCCTCGCCTTGTATTTGATGGAATCTGGTTTGATAGATTCGTGTATTGGCGTGTAGACAAACTATCCTCTGAAATAGCAACACCTCAAGAGTTGCTGGTCGTGTTTGACTATCACACTCAACAATTCCAAACCATAAACTGCCCTCCATCTCCAATCTTCTTTAACCCCACTGATCCTTATCATATGAATCTCCAAGTGAAAATAATGGACTTCCAGGGGACTGTGTGTGTAATAGATGAGTACCACATCACTCAGAATCATCGCTGTTAGATGTGGGCATGGGATCCAGATACTTCTACATGAGATTGCATGTTCGAGACCCATGAATTCCCAAATGTGAACACACACGTTCCACACGAATTACAGTTCCGCCATGATTAGCTTTATCCAGTGTTTCTAAGCCACAAATCATCTCCAGCGGGACAGTTCATTGTCAATGGATACGATAATCGACATTTGCTGTTGTATAGTGATCCTACCAGGAAAATCACACACTCAAGTACATCGCCGGATCTAGAAACCAGTTTCATCATTACAGCATGTTACTTCTGGGAGACATTAACACACTTTTAGGATTTTTTTTTCTTTAAAAAAATTTATCTTTCCCTTGTTAACTTATTACTGAAAATAATTGTCCAATGATCTTATATTGGTTATCCCAGGACTTTGTACTAATTATCCACATTATCTATGCTGGTTATCCAATGATATTATTTGTGAAGAAAGCGTGTTCAACGTGTTCATGTCTTTTTTGTAATATCTATATGCATTTAAAGTTGCATATCCGGTACAGGCGAGTTGGATATCCAGTATAGGCGAGTTGGATATCCAGCACAAACAAGTTGGATATGCATATAAACCCGTTGGATTACAATTACAAAACAAGTTGGATAGGCATATAAACCCAATGGATGAATATCCAATACAAGCGAGTTGGATATCCATTACAAACAAGTGGGATATCCATTACAAAAAGGTTTGATAGACATACAAACCAAATGGGTGGATAGCCAGTACAAACAAGTTGGATAACCAGTTCAATCTGGTTGGATAACCAGCATAAACACAATGGAGCCTTCACCCAAGACTTGTTCTTCCGGCTTCATCTATTGGCTGTCCTCGTCAGCCATACCTTGATTCCATGGCACTTCTAGAAAGATTTGGAAAATCAGACCTCTTGATGACCGTAGCCTGCAACCCCACTGGCCACAGATACAACAACAACTGCAGCATGACAATCCAGTCGATGAACCAGATCTGTTGTGGAAGGTTTCTAGAGACAAACTGGAGGTTTTAGTTGATGAGTTAAAGACTACAAGTACTTTTGGAGAAGTGGCGACCTTAAATATGCTGTGGAATTCCAGAAGTATTGATTGCCTCATGCACATTTCCTCATCACCTTGCAAGAAAACTTCAAGCCTGTTGACGCTGAAGCTGTTGATAGGATCATCTCTTCAGAGATCCCGGATTCTACTGGCAATCCTCTTCTACATCGCATGGTTAGCGACCACATGCTTCACGTCCATTGCCATGTTAACAATAGGGTACCTCGCTACTTCCGTGCTGGCCGCTGCATATACAAGTATCCTAGATCATTTGCAGAGGATACTATTGTTCCTGGTTCACCTCATCCAATTTATCATAGGCACGACACTGGTCGCCAAGTCATGGTTCGAGGCTGCTCTTATGATAGTGGGTGGGTTATATTGTATAATCCCCACCTATTGAAGAAGTTTAACTGTCACGTGAAGGTTCTAATTTGTACACGTGTGGCGTTAACTAAATAGTTTTACAAGTACATATACAAAGCCGTTGATCGTGTCGACTTCTTTACTACTGGGGAAACAACTTCCACAGCTGAAGGAAACCTTCCTGAGGTTTGTTCTGCTGCACAGTCTTCCAAAACTCCTCATGTGCAAGAAGATGTTCAGCCATCCGATGCCGCTGAACCGGTTCCAGTGACCTTAGAAGGTAAAATTCGTAGTTGCCTGATGGAAGAACTTTGTTTACATTGATGCTTCACTTAATAATGAAAGATTGTTGCGGTGACAGTAATGAAATAACTTTGTTTACTGCAACCTTTAATGGTTATAACTTTATTATTAGGTGAAGATACTGAACGGATCCTTGCCCATTCGACACCAGCACTGATGGAAAATGCCCAAGAGGTTTGTATCGGTTTAAAATTCCTCTTCATTAGTTCTGTTATTGCAGGTGCATTTACTGTTTAACTTGTCTAAATTGTTGTGGTATTTCTTTTTCCATGTTCAAGTGTGAGGATGTAGCCCTGACGAGTTTCCGCAACATGATGGAAGGCTGAGAAGACAAGGATTGTGAAGAATTCTTATTAAGAGTAATGGAAGAATCATGAGGTTGTTCTGTGTGGGAAGAAGAAAAATCATCATGGGACTGATTAGGTGCAGACTCATGATTTATCACAGGATCTGTAAATGAGGAATCCTCATCATTGCTGAAAACTCTAGGAAGTAATGCAGTAGTATCATCAACAGGTTTGTAAGGAAACAAATTTTCCTGGAATTGGACATCTCTAGACACAACAATCTTATGAAGAGAAGGTACAAAGATTTTGTAACCTTTCTGATTAGGTGGATATCCCACCATGATTCCCTTATGCGATCTAGCATCAAATTTGTCACGGCTTGGAGAATTATTAACAACAAAAGCCTGGCAACCAAAAACTCTCAGATAGGAAAGATCAGGAATTTTACCATTTAACAATTCAAAAGGTGAATGCCAATCAAGAAGTGGAGAAGGAAGATGGTTGATACGATGAGTGGCAATGAGAATAGATTCTCCCCAAAAGGTTTTAGAAAGGTTGGATTGAATCAAAAGAGCCCTGGCTACATGTAAGATATGTCGATGCTTCCTGTCAACAATGCCGTTTTGTTGTGGTGTGTAGGGACAGCTTCTTTGATGAACTATACCTATATTGCTGAGTAACTGTTGAAACTTGTCACTCATGAACTCAGTGCCATTGTCCATCCTGAGGATCTGAACATGGCTTTGGAATTGTGTTTTGGCATAGGAAAAGAAAGAAGCAAGGATGTTAGCAACCTGTGTTTTATGTTTGAATAAGAAAGTCCAAACACACTTGCTGTAATCATCCACAATGGTTAAGAAAAACTGTGATCCATTATAAAAAAGGTTGCTTATATGGGCCCCATACATCAATATGTAATAAAGCAAAGCAATGTGTTGTTTTAATACAACTTGCAGGAAAAGAATTTCGACTTTGTTTAGATAAAGGATAAATATCACATTGATCAGAAGTACAATCTTTGCCCTTTACAGAAAGCTTATCAGCTAGATTCCTTATTACATTTGAGGAGGGATGTCCCAACCTTAGATGCCAGGTACTAATAGTAACAGCAGTAAGTGCCTTACACAAGACATTATTCTTAGATTCTAATACATCACGAAGCCTAAACTTAAACATGTAAGAGGCATAATACTCTTGAGATTGCAAGATAGTTGTCTCAGGGAATGAACTTTTGTCAAGAATGTATAATCCTTGTACCACTTTACCAGCTGCAATGACCTTATGACTCCATAGGTCCTGTAGCAGACAAAATGATTCAAAGAAACGGAAATGCACATGTGAGTCTTTGGCCATCTTCCTAACAGAAAGCAGATTATGTTTGAAAGAAGGCACATATAAACAATTTTTCAGAGTTATAGAATCATGAATATCATAATCACCTGTGGAATGAAAAAATGTAATATTACCATCAGGCAATTGTACATGAGTGCATTTGGTAGTGGATTTTATGTGAATCAAAATGGCTATATAGGCACACATATGACTAGTAGCACCAGTATCTGATATCCAAGCACCTCTATGTATATAATCAGAAAGCTTGGAACTAAGAAAAGAGAAAATGGTGCTACCTGCAAAATCCTGGAAATGTGCAAAATTGACTTGATGATCATTTGTAGCTTCCAATGGATACTTTCCTTTCATGAATCTGCCAATCTCTCTATGCACTGCCTCAGATATCATAGCACCCCAATCCTTATCAGTATGATCAACAGTATCCATAGGAGTTTCAAAACTGCTAACATTATTTGCTGCTAGAGATTTTCCCTAAGGAGGTTTCCACCAATCTGGATAACCTTTTATCTTGAAGTAGTCATCCTTGAGATGTCCTGTTCGCTGACAGTGAGTACAGAACAAGTGACTCTTATCCTTCTTCACATAAGGCTGCTTCTGTCCTGTATCCTTCTTCCATTTAGGATTAGATCCTTTCACCATCATAGCAGCATTGTCATTAACTGACACAATTGAATTAGCGACTTGCTTATGTTTTTCAGGCTTTGTTTGTTCGGATTTTTTGATGGTATTTTTAAAATATTTAAATAATAAATGTCCCATCCCAACATACCTTTTTACATTTCCACTACACCTTTTTACATACCCACTACAAAAAAACACCTAAAAACACACACTAAAAAAATGAAACAAACATACCCTCAGCTTTCAACAACATAGAGTAGACCTTATTAGCTGTAGGAATGGGATCCATTAGAAGGATTTGACTCTTTTCTGCTTCAAAGACATCACTGAGGCCCATCAGTAGCTGCATCACTTTATCTTCTGCATCTCGTTCCAACAAAACCTTCCTAACAGTATCATCACATGCTGGCATAGCCCTAACCTGTTCCAATTGATCCCACAACTGCTTGATGTAGCTATAATACTGAACAATCGATAGATCTCCTTGCCTTGCAAGTGCAATTTCCCTCTTAAGTTGAAACAAAAGAGAAGAGTTTGAAGCTCCAGTGATGAAAGTAAAACTGATGACAAGTTCAGAAGAAATGGAGTTCTTGATCCATGAAACGACCATGCTGTTGACTCGGCGCCATTTGTGATAATCCGGCGATCCTTCTCTTGGCATCATACAGCTTCCGTCCACGAATCCGAACTTCTCCTTAGCTTCCAATGCTATGATCATTGAATTCCTCCATATGAGGTAATTCTTCTCAGTAAGGGGCACTGTAACCAATATAGTTCCAGGAGAATCAGATCCATGGCGCATCAATTGTTCTTGTCTGGCATTCATGGTTTCTTTGTCTAGATCCATTTAGACACAAAATCAAACAGGTGATGGTTGAGACGAAAACGAAAATGATTAACAAGTAATTATTCAAGAACAACACCAGATCTGATACAAAATCTCCAAGAAAACTCGGAAAAAAAAAACTAAAGAAAAGAAATGAAGATCTGAAAGAAAATTAGAGAAGAAGACAGT